GATGTATGATGATGGAAGTGCAAACAAGAGCCATCGCCCCGACCATGTCCGGAGAGGAAATGGTGGGAGGCGCGGGTAGCTCTGCGCCGCTCCGCACCCGTCTTCAGCCCGGAGTCAAGGCGCGTCGTGCAGCACACTTGTAGGAGATAAATGCCGCACAGAAGGCTGCACTCATTGCGCGGCGCCAGTGCACAACGGCACGCGCTCCTGGAGCCTGTAGCGGGCCTCTGCAGTGTCTCTGGGCGTGACGGTGACGTGCTCCCGTCAGTAAATTTATATCAGAATTGACCGATAATTCCTACCGGTTGAATCAGAATCGACCAGTAATATTTACTGGTTGCATCAGAACTGGCCAGCAGTTTACTAGCCAAAACAGCATCGTTTCGATTCGATATCGTTGGATCTCACTTCAATTAAGTTCCAGTATGCTATACAAGAAAAACAATGGATATTTCATGCTAAGCTTAGTAAAGTATAGTTAATCATAGTTAGCATATTGGCTGAAAAGGATGACCCAGAATCTGATTCATGAGAACAAGCAAGTGGAGACTACCAGGATAGGCGACACCATAGTATGAGTGGGACAGCAGATAACATAGTCCGATCAATCTCGCTTCTCAATTTGCATCACAAGCGTCACTTCGTACCATCGTCAACCAAGTGACTCTAAACTACCTCTGTCAAGTGACCAACGCTACCCTACCTCTGTCAAGTGACAAGCGCTACCCTACCTCGGCCCAGTGACATGTCCTTTGTCGTCTCTTTTGAAAATGCAAAGTAATTTCTTTAATTAATGCACGTCGAGCAGGGGCGCCTTGAGCAAAGTCGTTGACAGCATGGCAGTTCACGTAGTAGTTTCTGCATAAACTCTTGAATTCTCTCATCACTGAAACAGCCATGGGCTGGGCTAAACCAGTAATCCCAGGAGAAATGAACTCTGCCGCAGTACAGCGTTCGTTTCCAAGTGTATTGTGCACAGAGGCCATTGTGTGGGTCTTTAGCGAGTCTAATAGCAGTAGCCGAGGTCCACAGACACTCGTGTTCCAAACCTATTTAATAAAAAAAGCAAAGCAAAGAAAGAAAAATTTAAAAACAAGTTTAAAAATAAAAAATGTACAACTCAAACCTCATCTATCCACTCAAGCATGTGCTCCTCGTCGTAATACGCTTTTTTCTGGTCTGTGAGTATGGCTTTTGTGCGATAGTTCCGTTCACCATGAGCTCTAGATGAACTGGACCATGGATGTGACGGGGTCACACAGCACCTTGCGCTGAGGAAGTAGGCTTCCAAGAGTAAACAAACTCTAAGTAAACGATCGTTCAAGTGTCCCTGGTCTAAGGAGACGAAGTACTCAATTAAGGGTACGATCAAGACTGATTTTATTTATAGGTAAGCTTAGCTTGGTTTTCTAATACAAACTATAAGTCACCTATAGTAAAGCAATGTAGATATGCAATCATTGGCTCCTAGAGCCCCGTACCAGGTATTACAAGAGTGACTGGTCACTCTTCATGTAACTTGGGTACACTTGGGTTCGTACCCCGTTACAATGGAGCAGCTTTTGCCCCGTAGCCGAGGCACACAAAAAGCAGAAGCTCGGAAGGAATTCTCCGACATTCCTGGATTTCAACAAAAAACAAACGTTGGATTGTAAAATCAAAGAACCAAGTACAGCAAATTACCTTGAATCGCATCAACCTTTTTAGCACCAACAAACTCAATCGTACTCTTGGGTCCCATGTCAATGTAAATTGACGTCTGATCCATATTAAATACTGATACGTGTTTTTTCGCACCCTTGATAGCAGATAGCAAATTGACCATCTCTAGATTGTACTGGATAGTTCTTGAAAAACGATCTGCCACACCCTAAAATCAAATCAAAGTTTAAATTTAAATAATAAATATGTGAATTGTATGACAAACATGTAATACCTGTAATTCCGTGCGCTTTTTGGTGCCTCGGTGGGTAATAACCCGCACTGATAGGCGATTACGAAGCCGAAACCTCGTAATAGCAGCTACAGAAGCCTTTAATGACCTCCCGTAAGATAGTAAATTCGAAGCGGACAGCCATGAGTAGAAGACACTGACTTGTTACACCTATTCAAAATTGCTACATTTAGAACATTTTTTCCACATCAATAATAAATGATATCACTCACACATTGACCTGTTCTTCCGCATGTCTGTAAACCATTCTAGAAGACTACAAAATAGTTAGTATTACTCAGCAACTTCCAATGGTTAAATACAGCAAAAATATAAAGAACATACCGAGATTCTAGTCCAGAAAACCGTAATTTCACGTCCCTCTTCACCTTGCTTATCTTCTTTTTCTTGCGGCTAGGGCCTTGAGCGTCCTTTATCCGGTCCTCTGCACGAACCCAGCGCCACAACGTCACGCGGTGGACGCCGTATATGTCGGCCAACGCCTCGGTGGCTTCACCAGCAGCCCGGACTTCCAACACAGCCTATAAAGAATAGGGATATATATAATAAATAAACAAATAATTGTAGGTAACTTATTAAGAGTCGAATCTCTTACCTCGCGTCGCTCTTCATTGGTGCATTGAGCTTTAGCTCGCATCAATATCCGAATACAAGATGCGCGGGTAAATGAGATGGATGGCGCTGGTCGAATTTGTCTACGTTACAATATTTTTGATTATTTATATGTAGCAAGAATTTTTATGCGTTTCTTCTGTTCGTACTTATACGAGTGAATGCGGTAGTATCTATTATGGTACATGTACACACCCATTCAATTTAGCTTCAAGAAGACAAAAGGTCACCTCGGGTCGCAGTGACACCGCCTTGGCAGGAGGAGAAATGGTGCTTGACGAGGAGGCGAAAGAGGATTTCGACGAGCATGGTTTAGGTGGGGAGGATCTTGACGCTCAGATCGAAGCTGTGAAGAGCAATATTATTGGCAGTAAGACGGCCACGATGTACTTGCGTGGCATGAGCCGCTATATAGCGTGGCTGTACACCAATAAACGCGATGTCTTGAGTGGAGAGCTGCTAAGTGCACTGCGGGATGATGCCTTCGAAGACGATGGAACAGGCTACTTGTCACTAAAAGTTAACGGAGTACTTCGCTTTATCCGTGAAAACGCAAAGGTCCCATTAATTCAGTTCAAACAACATCGAGCTACTGATTTTGAGGGGCTCTTGCTGTCTTTAAAGAGTCGAAATGGAGGAAAACCTGGTATATCGGTGTACAACTCGTTCCGATCAGCGCTGTTTCATTTGTATCGTGGGTACGGGCGCTCAATGGATGTGGACTTTGCAGCAGATGTGACGTTGTTTTTTAAGGGTTTAAAGAGGGAGACAGCTAAACGGAACCATGATTCTGGTGAAAAACTGACTGAAGGAAAAGATCCTCTACCTTTTTCTATGCTTCGTTCGTTGAGTGTGTCAATGATGGAGCACGAAAGTGACGAATTCGTTTTTGCGCATTTGTTTTGGTTATTACCTGAAATCTAATGTGTAGGGCTGGTAACACAGCATCCATTCACGCTGGACATTTGAGTTGGGAAGGAGATGCTTTAGCCGTTCGGTTTGGACACATGAAAAATGACCAGGATGGAACACGTCCTCGAGACGCCCGACACATATACGTCAATCCGTTTAATCCGGAGATATGTCCTATTCTCTCACTAGGTATTTACGCCGCCGTTTGCGGCTTGGATGACTCGAAGTTGTTTCCAGGTGGAAACCAGTACGACCGGTTTTCTAAAATATTAAAGAGACTCTTGACGGAGCCCACGTTGTCGAATTTACTGGATACAGAAGGTTTATCGCCTGCATATACTGGTACCCAATCTATCCGAAAGGGATCTGCAACGTATGTGTCTTCTTGCTCTAATGGCGGTCCATCCGCCGCAGCAATATGCATTAGAGCAGGGTGGACCTTTCCGGGTGTCCAAGACACCTACATTCGCTACGAGTCCGCTGGTGATATGGTTGTCGGGCGATATGTATCAGGATTGTCGTTTGAAGAACCAGGTTTTGCGGTTTTATCATTTTTTTTTTTGCGGATATAGACGATTTCATCCGCAGAGCTATCGATCTTTGCTTTTCAAATCTCCCTTCTCGATAAATTCGTACTGGAAGTTGTCTCTTAGCTTCTTTAGTGTATCATCACGACTTTTTGATAAGGACTCTAAATAGTAATTATCTCCTACGACGCAATGCACTTCTTGGAAATGTGGGTCTCGTAAACCAGCTAAAGGATCGGGTACTTTGCAGATCAACAATTTCCACGGACCGTCTGAGGCCAACTGGTGTCCCACCTCACGTTTTACTCGTTAGTGGCTATTGAACGTCAAACAGAACAGCGGAAAACATTAACTGTTTCCGTTAATGGCGTGGCCCCTGCAGTTTTATCACTGATGAAAAGTGAGATGCCTCTCCAATTTGACACTTTTTCATCTCAAGCTTTGGACACTAACATTTCCCTAGCTCTTAATAGGTGTGGACTTGTGGATTTGGTTCATTCAGCTCGATTTAATTTTCAATTACAGCATGATAATCTCCCGGAAGCTGAAATAATCACAGAAACTGAAGGAAGCACCGCAGTTCCCGCGGTAACAAGATTAGGGGTGGCTGGATCCCGATTGACTCGCATACCATCCAATTTCGTAATTTCGAATATGTCACTAGAATGTGCCTGGGAGCACTGGTGTTGTGGAGATCCGTCCGGGCAATATGGTCCATTTTGGTTTTTACAATGGCACGATTTTTCTGACAGCAAAAAGCGCAAGCGGCTTTCTCATTATCGATGTATGATGATGGAAGTGCAAACAAGAGCCATGGCCAATTCTTATTGGTATGAACGGCCGACCGTGGAACAAGCACGCGCCATGCTAGTAACCGTGCTGCCAGAACTTCCTATTAGCGACGTTACTGCAAAGAATCAACAGCGCCGCAAACAACAGCTCAAATGGTCCAGTGTACTGCAAGAAATTCGTGAAAATCGTCGTAAAATTAATAATTAGCCAGTATTTTCTTCAACTTATTAGTTTCAGTGTGTACAAACCTGGTATGCGCTTACAAGGATATTATCTTCGTTAGATCTTGCCTTTCACGACGCTGTTGTTCATTAATGCTTTTGGTGAGGTTAACGAAGTCTGTTGAGTAGTTTCTGCGCCAGACGCAGACAAATTCGTAACAACTGTTGATTGCCCCCTAATATATAGCAGTTTGTATAGAAGCATTTTTGGATACATGAACTTGAATGCGTCAGAAGCAGAACAAAACGCAGAAGTCTTGACACAAATCAATAGAGTGACGCATACAAGTTCAGGAGAATTACCGTTTTACGATTTGACTTGGAGGTTACATTCTACATCGTTGCGTTTTATTCGTCGAATCTGGTACTGTGGAAGAACTGCAGGGAAGGCACACCGATGCATTCAGCACTTGACGATTCGGTTACAAGTAGTCAATACCAACTATGGTTTGTCCGAGTATTGTTGTGCTGCTGACAATTATTACCTTTATGACTGGAGTCTTAGCGCACGAGTCCCTTGATCAAGCTTCCACTTTGAGATACCAGCTCCCTGCACGACTGTTAATTTTCCAACTCTCTCTTCAAGAGTACGATCGCGACTGCCTCAAAGAGGCTCCTACAGTCCAGTGACGCAGCAGTATCCGGTGGGGATAGCAATGAGGAGAAAGTTACTGTCCCCAGACTATTGATACTCGACGACCTGATGACAAACTTTACTCCGTCCAGATCGAAGAGTCCGACCGTCAAAGAGTTGTTACGTTTTTCGGTGCATCCTTCAAAACTTTATACAACCATGTCTCTTGAGGGTACAACGAAGCCGGACCAAAGCATTCTTCTCGAATGGTTTATGTTCGTGAAGGCCCTCAGAGCGAAGAAAGGTGACCGAGCGTTTTCGGATTTGCAGATCTACCATTTGTTGCTCAAGACACACAGCGCACAAGAGGTGACTACACTTCTCGAAACTGCCAAGACCACTCCCGGCTTAAAGAAAATCGCTACAAGTGTGCAGAAGTCTCTATCGGGGGAGTGGATCTCGAAAGCCTTGCGGAAAACACTCACCCCGTGGACCTTTACGATTCATTTTAAGTCTTAGAGAAGCGGGCAAGAAGCTGGATGAGACGCCCATCATTCGTCAGTGGCTGGAGTACGTGAAGCTTATCGGGCTAAGAATAAATTTCCAGATTTCAGCATGCTCGGCTTATTTCAACAGACAATGCCAGACGAAAACATGATAGCATTGATCCATTCGCTTCGTAACACTCCGGGCATGTAGGATCATGCCGATAACATGCAAGACCTCCTGTTTTCGCTCTCGACGACCAGATGAGTACCGTGTGGCTCAAGTCCAGAGAGCCCCCTGATGAAGTTTTCAAGATTTTGCATTTGGCCCGCGGCCCAGCCCGCTTCGACGAAACAAGTTGATCCAGTGGCTAAGGTGAATGGCGTTACAGCAATCTTAAATACGCAACTACAACATGAATTACAACAACCTTACACCTTAAAGCGACCCAAAAGCAACCTTAGTCAAATTAACGCAACCCAGAATCACTGAACCTCGACACTTACCCTTCTCCGAGGACGGGTGTCATGTACCTTCAAATATTCAAAAATGGAGCTGCTGGTAGGACATCTATTGCCAAAGCCTCACCGCTGAAAACACAGAGAACGGCGGAAGAGCCCTAAAAAGGGTCTAAATGCGACCATGCTTAGTTCTAGACTTAAAAGCCGGGTGCTCCGAATATACCGCTTAAACCGCAGGCATAGCTTCGGCGTTACCAAGATTTTAGGATTCACCCCCTCCCATGGCTTAAGGTTGCGGAAACCACTCCGGGCTAAGGTACACCTTGCAGTACAAGGATGCAACAAAGGCGAATGGATTCTCCGACGAGCAAATATTTCGTTTTCTGACGAAGGCCGAGGTAGATTGACAGTTTGCAATTCTCTTCCAATCACTTACGGACGCTCCCCATTTGAAGAAACTCGCTGAAAACATGCAAAACGCTTTATTCAGGGAATGGGCGCACATGAAGTTTAAGCCGAATTATGTCGCAAGTATGTTGGCATTCCAGTTCCTGTAAATCGTCTGCAGGCTTATACCGCTTACCACACTAATACCAACAACCCTGTCGGCGTGTAGCCGTCCTGCCGACACTTAGCGGAGTCAGCACGATGTCTTGACACTGAAAATACTCCGCGTAATACTTCGCGGTACACGTAGTAGTTCTGCTATTTGTTTTGGTCGGGAGTTTCTCAAGTAAGGCCTAGCGCTTGTGGTAGTTTATATAACGGAGAGCTACAAGAGCTAGAAGTCGAAGACCAACAGCCCAGACAACCACGACAGCGAAGTTGCACCAGATATCGCTGTGCTTCACCTCAAATACCCCGTCCAAGTACTCTCTCACAGTGGTTCCTGCTGCTAAGCTTGGTGGTGCGTTTGATATCTCTTGACAGCCAATTTTCGCGCAGTCACTGAAGACAATAGCCGATAGACTGGCAAAGGTGCGTTTGTGCGGGACAAAGTGGTGTAACCATTGGTAACCTTGAGGAATTGAGCTGGCCGGGGGGTTGAAACCCGTGAACAAAGTGCAGATGGATCCAATTAAGACCGTGAAGACCGATGCCACCTCGATACTAGGGAGAGAATACGCTAGTAACTGTCCAAAATATGCTTGTACTAGCACCAGCATCGACAGGTTGAGCCAGTACGAGAAGAACTCCACAACTCCCGAAAAGCGGACTAGAGGAAAGTAAATTACCAAGAAGATAAAACTTGCCCCGAAACAATACGGAATCTCCACGATCGTTGATCCCATGAAATACCAAAACGCATTGTACATCTCGGAAGATCGTTCACGGTAATATGAAGCTCTCTCTCGATAGGTGATCGGTAGAACCGCGTTGAACGTGATGTACGTGATGAAGGACGTCGTCATGTAAGCTGTACCCAAGCCAGAATTGATGCCCTGGTATGAGGAATACTCTGCGTCAATGAACGTTATTCCAAAGGCTACACCGATGATAATCGAAACGATGAACCGCGTCAAGTTGTACGATGGAGTCTGCCAGTACAGATCGAAGAAGCGGTTGAGCAGGAATTTTGCTTGAGTCACGTTACTAGCAGCACGTTTTCTCGTGAATGTTAGGGGCTGGAGTGACGATTTCGAGACGCTAAAGTAGTCTTGAAGCAGATAGAAGTGCTCGCTGTTCTTGAAGCAGGACACAAAATCGAACTTATCATCGCATTTACCCACTCCAGCGCCGATCACCTCCAACATCCACGTAGCAGGGTTATAGTCCTTTGCCAGCTTCGGCACACCATCGATCGTTTCAAAATAATCGATCAGAGTCGAAGCGTTCTCGCCCAAATCTCCAAAAAACACCGTCTCGCCACCGCGTTTAAGCAACAACAGTCTGTCAAACACACAAAAGACTTCTGCGGATGGCTGGTGGATGGTGCAAATGACGGTGCGTCCTGTGTCTGCGACTTTGCGTACACCATCCATAATGAGCTTGGCAGAACGAGCATCTAAACCACTTGTCGGTTCATCGAGAAACAAGACGCTGGGCTGTGCAGCTAGCTCCACACCGATAGTAAGTCGCTTCATCTGTTCTGCTGAGCTGTTGCGAATTATCTGGTCCGCGATCGAGTGCAAGTCCAGCAGATCGAGACATTCATTGACCGTGTTGTACTTCTCGATGTCAGATACTGCGGCATCCTGACGAAGGAATGCACTAAACGTCAGTGCTTCCCGGAATGTCGACGCGTCCGAGTGAATATCCACCTGCTCGCAATACCCTGTTGCTCGACGGATTGCAAGTTCTGTGGCAGGGTATCCGTTAAGTAAAACCTCTCCACGAATCGTACCACCGGTTTTTCTTCCAGCAATGACGTCCATTAGCGTAGTCTTACCAGCACCCGACGATCCCATAAGTGCCGTGATGGTACCAGGCAAAGCGAATCCGCTAATACCTTTCAGCAGATTGATACTGGCCTTGGCATTTTCCGGGCCTGGAACTGAATACCACAAATCCTTGAACGCCAGAGTCACTGGAATTAACTGTGGTCGTTTCGCTGATTCATCAACCTCAACTCGTACGTCTGCGCTCCTCGGTGTTTCTATGAGATTATAGCCTTGTTTTGTTTGCACAAGATTATCCACTGTGACTTTGTTCTCCGCTTCTAACGTCGCGTTGGGTGCGTTCTCGTAGCAATAGTATTCCAGGACAATCCACGTCATGATCATGAAGACTACGTAGATCGCTATCAACACGAATATACCCAACCATAACCAGTATCTCTCGGTCTGTACGTCAAATGAACTCAACGAGTACGCCCCCATTGTCATGTCGTATTTTTCACAGTAGTCCACGTCTCGGTAAATGCACACGTCAAACGAAGAATTTGTGTACTGATTCACAGCCACCGCTCGAATCCCCCATGTTAACGGGCTGATCCAGTAGATCCAGAGCAAATAGGAAGGAATTTCTCCTTTGGTTATCGCAAAGCCCGAGTAGATTGTGAATAACAAGTCTGACAGCATCGCGATTGCGTTGGCCACGTTCAAATCAGGGCACACTACTGCTAAGAAGAAGAACCACGCACCGAATACCATACTGGAGAGGAATAAAACAAGCTCGAAGACCACAAAGCCTTGAACTGTCGAGACAAAACCGCACATCCAGTACATGATGGAGCCAAAAATCAATGTTTCGATCACTGCTAAAGGGATTTGACTTGTCGAAGTTGCCAATACAAACGCCGATGTACGGAAGAAGTTGGCTCGGCGCTGTTTCTTAAACACATCTCGGATAGCCACAAACGCTGGCACTTGAGCGGATTGGCCGATCATTACAAAGCCGACGACCACGTATGCGATTCCCATGACAAGCTGTGCGTCCACTTCATCGAACTGGAAAAACGAACTCGCATTGAGTAGACCCAGCAAAAATGACATGAAGACTCGACTGCTGATCAGCGTTCGATCACGAGAAAACACCTTTAGCTGGCGCTTTATAAGTGTCGAGGTATTGCTCCAGAAACCTTGGTTAAATTCCGGAATTGTTGCGATATACTCTTTGCTACCTTCCAAGAGTGAAGAGTTCAAAGGAGCACGCAATGTATCCAGCATGTGCGCGTAAATAAAAGAGCGTTCAAAATGACCCGCAAATTCGCTTGGTTTCCTCGGAGCTACCTCCACCTCGTACTGATGCTGTTTGACTGTTCCCAAATCCATCAGGAAATCTGCCACATCACGACTTGGAGGACGCTTGAAGCCTAGGCCCTCGAAATAATTCATCACTTGCGATCGAGGACCATGATACAGCACATACCCATCATTCAGCAAAAGCACATCGTCGAACAACTCAAACACCTCGGGAGATGGTTGGAGCAACGAAATCACCACCGTCTTGCCGAAGGATTTAGCCAGCTTTTGTTGTGATGAGACGATGTCAAAAGTTGCAGCGCTGTCTAACCCCGTGCTGATCTCGTCCATCATGAGCACTGGTTTGCTACCAAATGTCATCTCGCCTGTTGTCACACGCTTCCGTTCACCACCCGATACACCACGCAGCATTGTATCGCCCAACACCGTGTTTTGACAATTCTCAAGACCAAGTTGCTGAATAGCCCGAGAGGTATCGAGTATACCAGCCATATCTCGTTTGGATAGCTCTTCACCACTACACTCGTATGCAAACTGAAGCGTCTCCTTAACCGTCAGCGTCGGGTAGTGTCTGTCGCGCTGATCCACGTACGACACGAACTGTGGCAGCTTCGCGCGGAGTTCAAGTTGAGGTGAATCATTGTACGTCACTTGCCCTTCCACCGTAATGTTACTCTTCACTGGAAAGCGCCCACTCAAAATCTTCATGAGCGCCGACTTGCCAGACCCAGGTTGTCCAAGAACAAGAGTCATCGTCCCAGGCCTCAACACTCCACTCATGCTTCGCAATATTTGTTTCGTGACAACGCGTTTCGATGCAGTCATGCGCATCACTTCGGTCTTGATTACATTCGAAAGCGTTGGGAGCTCCGCCTTGAGCTGCGTTTCATCTTTCACGATAATGTCGGCTGAGACGGATAAACGCTCGAACCGAATCTCCATTCGAGGATGCAGTTCACCAAGAACGTCTTCCATCGTAGGTGCTAGGTTTCAGTAGTCGAACGGCAAAAATCGACTTCCGCAAAAATAAAAAACCACGCGAATTCTTGTTGTGGAGCGCTGCAAATTCGGTAATGAGGGTTCGCCGCCGTTCGTCTGAAGGTGTTTCACGGTCGACATCGCCGCTGGTACCATGTTGCTGTAGAGTCATCTCATCTAGCGATTGGAAGTCGAAATGCTATTACTGAACCTGATTGGATAATAATCACAGCGGCGGATTTTAGAAAGGAAGTGGCTAGGATCACCAAGTTTTTGTCCACAAAAAGTGCAAATACCGATCACTACCCTATCCGCGGTATTGTCAGTACTTCGGTATTTCAAAAATCAATTTCTTGGAACAGCCGAGCGTCCAGCGCCGCTCATTCTTCTGGCGCTCCCGCAAAGCAGGCTTCGGGTAGCAGTTAGCGTCGCCCCGCTGTCTCGCTGGACTACACTACGCGCTCACGCCTCCCCAGTCCCCGCCCCGGTCTATCGTGCTGCTGGTTCCACACTACAGAACCCCGACCATACACGTGTCTTTCAGCTGCCATGTCGTCCACGTCTTCTCCTGTGCCGCCCGAAACGACCGCCAACGCAGTTGCTGGGGCTAGAACGTCACTTGAGATTGCATTAATTACCTTCGAGGGAGAGTTTGCATCGTGGGAAGAGTTTGGAAAGGTGTTTGACCGGTAAGATATTAGCTTATAATATTTTTTACCACACTTTTTTTTTTTTTAACTAAAATGCATTCTGTAGCTACCAAAAAGAGACTTTTTAAATATACCGGCTCAGGACGAGTAATTCTGTGCGTGACCGGAATCGTGAAACTCAAAAGCGTGCTGCTCGTATTGGAAAAGAACCGGATTTGTACGACGAACTCTCAAGTATTATGCAAGAACGTTTATCTGTACACATGGGTGGGATTCCAAGCCGCGGGGCAGAGGTGACCGCACAAACCATACTGTCCGTGGAATTGGTTGCAAGACACGATTGAATGCCGTGCTGAACTGTGACAAAGGAGTCTACACTGTTCGAATCTCGAAGCACCAGTCGACTCATAATCACAGCGTGGGCCCCGAAGAGTATACCTGCTATGCGGAGACACGCAAAATCGAATCACCAGCGTGTTGCCAAGACAATGTGGCAAGATAAAAGAAACATACTTTACTGATATTTTTTGTACTGAGGTATGTTCTAACTCTTAAAAACTTTGTAGGTGGTTCGAAACGCAAAAAAAGCTTGCACTACCTGAAAGAAGTGTCTGGCAAGCCGCTTCAACAGAAGGATGTGGAGGACATGATCGCTGAGATGCGTTGCGAGACGTACACTTCATCAGATGACAATGTTCGAGTGTCCCAGTTGTTGCAGGACTTTGGAGAGGGACCGGGGAACGCAGTGAGAATTTTTCGCGATCCTGCAACAAGTCTCACAAGCTGTATCACCTTCCAGACCGCGCACATGAGGAGGATGGCGAGGAAGTTTCCAGAGGCTCTATGCATTGATGCTACGCATGGAACTAATTGCAACAGGTGCGAGACCGATGAAGTCTACCTATAGTTCAATTTTTAGTGTTAAGATTACCGATGTTTGGTGATATTATCACAAAAAATGAATACTTGGTTATATATTCACCATTTACTAACTAATTTTAATTTCGTGATGCTAACAGATACCGTCTCTTCAGTTTTAATTCGAGAACAAATACTTAGTGGCAAGAATCCTACAGCTACAGAGCTTGGAGGGTCGATATTGGATGTGGGGACCTTCTCCATTCTGGATATCGAGCGCATGAGGTTGTGGCACGAGGTATCGAGAAAACTTCTCAAGGCCCGAAAGCTAATGAAGTTTGTGGAAAACATACCAAGTGAAGGCGACGCGCAATCCAAGAAACGGCAACAGATTCTGAAGACGATACCGCACATGGGTGTTGACACCGTCTATCATACTGGTGGGCACGACATTCCTTTTACGGAGCTTGCTAGATTTGGAGATGAGAGCTGGTTGAGTGATACATGTGTGTATCTGGCGTCACAACGTGTTGCGGAGGAACGACAATGTTGTCGTGGTGTCAACCTAAGATAGTGACTGTTGTCGACCCTATTTACCTCCAAATGGCAGACGTGGAAAGAAGGAGTGAATTTATCGACACTAGCGAACGCATCTTCAGCCAAATGCAAGCGAATCGGATCGTGTGCTGCCCGATTTATATTAACGTGTCGTTTCCCCACTGGTGTGGTATCAACTTTGACATGGAGCGGCAAACAGTATGGACATATGACCCTTTTCACAGAGAGGATTTTCTAAGCAAGGTGGAGGACATATTCGAAAGTCGATTTGGACCCATTATGGCTAGTATGATGGAAGTTAAAATCTTCCCAGGCTGGCTACAAGAAGACGGTTATAGCTGCGGAGAATTGGTTGTTCTCTGGTTCGAACAGTACATGTCTATCGCTCGAGTTACTCCACCCGACCAGAGCATTCCTGTCCCTCGCGGCAACAAACTGCACCCCGACGAGCTGATGTACATGCGTTTCAAGCATTTTTCCTACGTATTTGATCGCGTAATGGCAGACGCAGACTTCCACCAATAATGCGTGAATATATGTTGAGTGTAAGGAGAGAGTTTATTACGAGAAGATGACAACAATACCAGTGCTTCCAAGGCTGGTGCTGTGGTGCAGTACATGTATACGCTAATAGCAAGAGATCTGCATTGAGTGTACCACGCAATTTTAAACATTTTTCTCTAAATACCGCATCAATACCGGTAGCGACCCCCACCATATGATCCTCCGTTTTGTCCATTCTTTAACGAAAAACTTGGTGACAGTAAGGAGAGCCTTTTAGAAACGAGAACTTCTTGTGGGCTAAAACTGTATGCTCCTTCCGAGTTGAAACCGTACTGCCTCCACTCAGTGGACATACTGTATTCGCTCGATATCGAGAGAATTCGTTATCCGATCTACAGGTTTAAATTGAATTTATTTAGTCTACAGTGGCAAACATAGCAACAAAAAGAAGACCTGCAATGCCAGTCATTTCGGACAGTTCTTAGGATGCCAATTTCGTTTTGTAACAAAGCGTATGAAATAATAAAAATATTGGTTTGCTGAGTAATCCACCCAAATTGATGTAAAGATCATAATATTCTCTTGTGCAGTTCTGTACCCTCTGCATCAGATCGTAACCGCCGGATCAGACTTTCGATCGTAAAGGTCAGTCCGCGGAAAGAGCGCAGTCGACGAGGCGTGCGCCGACATGGAGGATCCTAGCGAAGACGATGCGTCTCCATCACCCCCAACACCATCCACCTCCACACAAGACACAGCGACATCCAACGCCGCTGTTCCCGCACCAAACAACCTCGTACAAGCGCCGCAATCCCTCTCTAAAGTTTCTCCCGACTCTCTTCCCGACTCTATTGCCCCTAAACAGACTACACGCAGCCTTCTAATCCTCCAATTAGAGCGCGAAATGCAGAAGAGAAGACCCGACCACTTTGTAATTGGTGTAACGTGTCGCTCGCTCGGTGGTGTACCCTCTAACTTGCGATCTCAAGTGTGGCAGGAGCTTCTGGGCGTGGCTCGTACCGAGCGACTGAGTCTGGACCAGAGTATCTTACAGGTAGAGGAAGACCTGGACAACCAGCGAGTTATCGCCGCCGATGCAGCCAGAACCAGAGGCAACGAGCCTCGTTTCAAACAACCAGAGACTGTGGAGCTCGTGGTCAAGCTGCTCACGTACTACTGCAAGTGCCGCAGCATCCAATACAAACAGGGAATGAACGAGGTGCTCGCCCCCTTCTTACTGCTTACTGAGCAGCGAGATGGGGCTCAAAAGAGAGTCCCATTGGCCGAAGGAGTCGTGTTCCAGTGCTTTTACGCGCTTATCGACAGGTTTCTGCCCCATGTGTTCGTGGATAAAGAGTTCCGATCACTGCAGTGTTCCTTCCAGTTATACAGACTCTTAATGCTGTACCACGACCCAGAATTGTGTCACTATCTGGACCAGCATGACATGACTCCGGAACTTTATGTGACGCCGTGGTTTATGACGCTGTTTGCGCGCTCCTTACCGCCCGAATTTGTGTTTTATCTCTGGGATTTTTTCTTATTGGAAGAAGACCCGTATTTACTGCATTTTGTGGCTTACGCACTGGTCGCAGCGAACCGGGAGAAGATTTTTGACGCGGATATTGCCATGCTACCACAAGTTCTGAGTTCTCTGACTTTCTCGTCGCGTGATGAACTGGAACAGGTTTGTGCCGATGCATTGGCGTTCTCCGAGTTGACACCAAAGTCGTATAAGCGAGATTTGTACTCAGTATGTTATGGGGGCTTCACAGATGCCATGGTGCCGTTTCTAGATCAACTTTACGCGTGCTCCAGTCTGCAAGTGTATCCAGAGGAACTAGTACGCAACTTGATGGACCGATTAGCGACCAAAGCGAAGGAGAAACGGATTCCAGTGCCCTCAGCCATGCAAGAAGAAGATACAAGCCTCCAGGATTCGTTGAACCCGTTGCTGTCACCTGCCACTGAAGCTCCGTTGTTATATTCCTCTGGGAACGATGCGGATGAAGTGACGGCGTTGAAGTTTATCGTATTGGATTGTCGACCTGCAGAGGAGTACCACAAGTCGCATTTAAGTCTCTCGCACCACATTGATCCGAGTATTATGGGAAGACCAGATGCTCTAGATGGACTCATGAAGGGCTTCTCACACATGAAAGGCTGCCACTTTTGCTTCGTTGGCCCCTCTGTCGTGTCGCCTCCTGTTCTACCGAGATCCTCGTCGAATAACGCGGCACTGAACACTATTGTGCGTCTGGCCAGAGTCATTTCTAACGATAAATCTGCACTAGAGCAGAGCCAGAAGCCCATTGAAGTTCAAGTAGAGGAAATCATGTCGTCGCCTCCAACTGGACCCGCAACACTAGCAAGAAAGCAGAGTCCAGGAGAACCTGGCGCGCTAGCTAGCGAGATCGGCAGTAATGGAGCGTCTAAGGTACACGCGGAACACGAATCGGTGACTCGACTGGTACTGATGTTCCTGCAAAAAGGATTCAAGTATGTAAGCCATCTGGACGGAGGATTTGACGAACTGGAGAAGAGTATTAAAACCATGGACACGTTCGCGCAGGAGCAGCTTCTCGTGTCCTCACCGATGCCAATACCGGTTACTGAACATATACCGGTACCAGTTGAGACTAGTACTGGAGGTTTCAACCTGTTCGCAAAGATTGGATTGAATCGTTCACGTGCTCCTTCCCAAGATGATTTTACGATGGAAGTTGATACTGCGGCGCGCTCTGAAGTATCTGAAAGCAGTGGACTTTCAACGACCATCACTGTGAGTGAATCTACGTCTACTTCATCAGCTCCTAACAGTACGCCGAAGGAAATGAAGGACATTAAAAGAAAGACGAGTTCAGCGGTGTCGACGTTGTCGCAGCGCTTGATGCTGTTGAAGGCAGCAGCGAGAGATGCAGTGTCGTCCACGTCGAGCTCGATAGGGCTATCGAACAGCAGTACCGCTGAGGTAAATGATGTCGAAGAAAGCCACTCTACAAGCGACGATGGATGGGTCGAAGTGCGTGTGAAGACAAGCGATACACTGGAGAAGAATGCTGGGAAAATCACAGAGGTTGAGCTGCAGCCTGGTCCGATCGGGATCTTGTTCCAGAAGTCTCGTGCATCAAAGATCTTCCAAGCTGTGGTGGATAGCGTGGTGCCAGATAGCCAAGCGTCCGCCACTGGACTCATCAACACTGGAGATTTACTCGTTGCGGTTAATGGAGAGAGTCTGGAAGATGTCCCGTTCCTCACTGTAATCGAGCGTGTCATCGAAGCAACTCGACCAGTGGTGTTACGTTTTCTTACTCCTGCAAGTTCGCAGAAGGATAAGGCTGCTACTGTGTCTGATATCCCTCCACTGGCTCCTACACTTGTAAGCGCGACAAGGCACTCGATCTGTATCACGTGGGACAAACTCCCTGCCTCAGTCGCGTCTCCTGACGTAGCTCGCTATCAACTCCAGTTTGCCAAGCAATCAGGTGACGAGTTTAATCCCTGGTTTCCAGTTGCGATGAAACAAGAAGGAACGACAGCCGAGGTGGATTCTACCGGTATCACGGACCACACGAACGGGACGATGGTCGGTCTGGAGCCCGGTGAGTCTCTAGTATTTCGCGTGCGTTGTGGAGACGGGCAACAATGGGGACCGTACAGTTTATCGAGCGGCTCTATGAAGACATTGAATGCAGAAAAAAAATCCGAATCAGGAGCTGTTACACCGACGTCTGTGGGCCATGAAGACGTGACTACCGCGGTTTTCCTACCCGGTGTTTGTCCTGAATACGTCGAGCGAGGAAGGTTTTTCTACCGCGTTCTACTCGCATTACAAGCGCGTCGTCGTCCGGATTTTAACGCCGAGAAGCTGGATATTGTATTGGAGAAAGGGGTTGTGATCAGGGGAACGGAGAGACTAGTGTGTCCAGGTACCAACCAGATCTTCGTCCGACTTGCGTTTGGAAACACTGACGATAGTGCCGATCAAGATCGAGAGTACGAAGGAGCAGATGGTGAAGTGATGTTGCTTCGGAATGGTCAAAGAGAAGCAGATGATGACGCTGACGGGGTATGGGCCTTTGAAAACACCCCCGACGGTGAAGTAGTCCTTGAACGACTGCCTGAATCTGCTACTGAAGAGACTGGGCCTTCATTACAAGAGCAAGCTAAGTCTATGGTGCAGTCCTTCCTCAATTCAAGTGGAATCTCCCCAGGCGACAATGCCAACTCCAATAGCGCTGGATCGATCAGTTCCATGGTCTCCACTGCAGCTAGCAGCAGTGGAGGTAGCAGCGTACCGTCGTCTTCACATGCGCTCGTCGCACCGCGTATTCTGCAGGTGTTTGCTGCATCCAGCTCTGAAGTTGTGGTTACGTGGGATCCAGTAAACGATGTAGGTGTAACCAAGTACCAGATCCAGTATGTGAAGGATCGTTTGGCTGCCATGTGGTGGACAGTAAAGCCGGACATCGAAGCGGATACTCTAAAGTACTCCGTATCGGGTTTACAGCCGAACACACCGTATGTGTTCCGTATTCGCAGTGGTGCCGAAGACAACAAATGGAGCCCGTACAGTGAGTCAAGCGAGAGCTGTCGCACACTCCCGACTGGTAAAGTATCGGCAAATAACTCTAGTGATGAAGACGATAAGACATCAATAACGCGACGACCTACAAGCAGTAATGGGAAGAAGCCGCAATCGACGGCACTAGGGCCGCAGAGTGCTCCAATGCGTACTGGAAGCACGATTCTGGATAAAGCTGTTGCTGTTGCTTCACGACTGAGACGCCGCTCGAATTCCTCCAACCAGCAATCTGATGAGACGTCACTCAGTAAAGAAGACGAGACTCAACAGCTCGAAGATGATAGGAAAAGCGAGTCTCCATCGCGATATGTCAACTTGGCAAGCTGGAAATCGTCGTCGAATAATACAGACAAGGACTTCCACTTCTATCACGCAACTAAATTTCAACAACAGGACGAAAAAACCCATCGACAACTGAGCAATTTAGGTGATCGGGAGCTGGTGGTCACGAGTTCAGCTCTTGTTGTGCTCGTTGTGAAGGCGTCGACACCCAAGGGCTATGCGCTAGTTGAAGAGTGGCGACCATTGACGTCACTGACGAAGCTTGAGGAACGGGAAGACCTGGACAACTCGCTCGTCTTCCACTTCAAAGTATGAGCTACTGGAGTGGTAGATGTGTACTGGAGATCTAACACTGTCTTTGATACTTGTAGGACCAAATTGAGGCTACACCTGACTCTGCTGATCGCACAGAGAGGGGCAACCAACTGATTGTCGTTGTTAACGAGGCCAAAGCCTGCGCCAAAGTTGTACAGGAGTATCACGCGAAGGTGAAGCTCGAGGGATAATGTGTGAAGCAGTGTACTGTAGATGCTGAGCTGCAGACCCGCAGTGTGTTGATGTTCATTGAAAAACCTTGTACGAAAAAAATGCTAACTACCTAAAAACAATTGATAGACATTACATGTACAAACTTACTCGGTCTACTCGCTAAATAATTATTGTTACGTGTTCATGTTGCCTCGTTGGAGCTGTTTGACGAAGTCTTTAATGTTTGCAGAGCTAGCAATGTGTTCGCTACTTGGCGTTGAAACTTCATTTTGGTTGGAGCTAAACGCACACAACATCGAAAGTAGGATAGTGCAGTCCAATACTCGTCCTTCCGCAAGTTTGTCAGCTGCAAAGATATCAAAAGTTAGAACAACAAAGAAGAAGACACAGCACTATTATTACTAGCACTTACCCCAAGAAGATAAAAGACGTCCACATCGTCCACATCGCTGCTCGATTTATGAGGATCGTTGCTCCGGGGCTTCAGTATGTCCAGCACGTTATCGTACGCTTCCAGTTCTGTCGGACACCAAAGGTACAAATGAGTGTTAATTGATCCCTGGAACGCTCGAGCATGTAGATCTTACCGTAGAACCAACGTGCCAGTTGTAGACGAATGACTCGCGTGGTGCCATCCGTCTCGCTCTGGTGCTCCATGTGATAAAACGTTCTCCAAGACATGACACCTGCTTCAATCAGTATATGACGATATTGTGCCGCCTCACTCTGAGTTTGCTTCTTCCACCGGTTCAGCAGTTCCCAATGTAACACGGAAAACAAGTCGAAATCCCAGCCAGTTTGCGCCAGCAGAGCAAGGAGAGCATCCATAGAAAAGCAGCGTGCACCGTCGTCAAAGCTCATCATGCCCCACAATAAATCGCAATCCCCAGGTGTGAAGCGCGCGAACTGATGCTTGAAACTAGCGTGCAGGGTCTCGGATTTTGTAGTGTCTTTACCTACGGTCGCGAAAAACACGTCGAACGTATCACTAGCTGGAGCGGAGACTAATTGTGAGCTAGCTGAAATGCCAACATTCTTGCAATTGAGATGGTTAAAGAACAGCTCGAAGATCTCAAAGTCAACAGGAAGACAGAAGCAGTCTGGATGAGGAGATAACTGCGGCAATTCTAGACCCACTGGTTCAGTCGCTCCCGTCGAAGTTTCGACTGTACTGGTAGTAATGAATGCACTCGAGATAGCATCTCGGAAAGAAAACCTCGCATCTCCAGCCAGAATAACAATCGGAAATGCGTCTGCTTCGCCATCATTATCGAAGAGCGTTAACAAGAACTCGAACGCTTCGACAGGGAATAGAATCAATCCAGTTGATGAAACTGGTTCTAAAGTAGAAGAAGTACCGGTCCGAGAGTGGAATTGGTCCACTATTTCCACTAGAACTGTGTTTAACCGCTCATCTTCGTAAACGGATTGTACCCTTGGATCTACAACTGGACGGAGAATGACGTTCATGTTGACAATGCTTGACGTGTCCTTATCAAGTAGCGCTTCTTGTACAATTATACGCTTCCTTTGTCTGTTCACATTGAGATCAGCTTCATTACCCAGCTGGACGGCCACAGTGAAAATGTCAGCGCGCAGAGAGTCCAAGAAGTAATTACCCATCAATGCTACTGGGCCATCGCTTCCGACATTCCACTGACGTTGTGAATGCACAAGTTCGAGTGTTTTTCGCTTCCCAGAAACTTGAGGATTTCCGTGAATGAATTCGTATGTGTCAAAAAGCGCAAAATCCAACTGTCCGCGCTCAATAAACTGACGAAAGCACGACATCTGACGCCGCGAGTTCAGTACTTGCTCACTCAAATCTGTCGCGACAACTAATGGCACCAAACCTCGTTTTTTAAACTCATCGCTCGAATCCACAAGTTCAGTGAAGTGTAGCATGAATGAGTGTAGGAACTTGCACGAACCACTTGCAGCCTCCCACACAAAGCAATTCGGAGAGTTTTTCTTTCGAATTGAAGGCTTGACATAGTCAGCATTACTCAATAAGAAGTCGACCACAATGCGAGCATATGATGAAGCAAGGAACGAACTACTGGACACACCGAAAGGAATTTTACCGGAACTCCACGCACGGATGCCTTGATCCTTGTAAAATTGCTTTTGTGAATCCCATAGACAACACTCGGACAGTCGAGCGAATTTTCGTGATAATTCCTGAGGAGATGACGATTTAAGACACAACGGAGATAGGGTTGGCTCCTGTTTCGTAAACACTGTAGTTTCCTCCATTTGTTCTGCAGATTGATACAAGCCTCTCCAAATCTGTTCTTCGCGTCTCTGTAATGCAGCAATCTCGTGTCGTACTCGCGCTTGTGGGATGAGCTGTGTCTGTTTCCAGAGCTTCTTGGCACCGGCTCGGACAAGCTCTGGATGAAAGTGACTCCATCGAAATATCAGTAACAATAGCTGGAATGGCAACTGGTTAATTGTCGAGAACATCGCAGCTCCACAAGTCCCATTGAGTGCGGTTGTACCCTCAACTGGCCCCGAAATCCAGCGAACACACTCCATAACGAAATGCCATCCGCATTGATCTTGCAGAAAATCTAATGGCTGTCCAATAAACTTTAAATTCGTTTCCCAGTCGCTATCTGACTCCACTTTACCAATACGACTGAGATGATACATTCTGAGGTCCGCTATTGCTCGATTATCTGGCTTTAACCCCAACAACCCAACAGGATTGCACAGTGTCAAAAGGATACTTCTCTTTGAGGAGTGCCGCAGTTTCGATGTCATCTCTTCCACCAGCTGCACTGCAATTTCGTCCTTGCATGGTGCATACGCCACGACCAATATTCGACTTGCTATTTGGTCGAGTGGGAGTTTTAGTTCGTCTACATTGTCCGCGTGCGTGTAGTAGTCATCACCAATTAAGTTGTTGGATATAAGGCCCTCATTTTGACGCAAAAAGCCATTCACCAACTTCGACAGCACAGCTCCTTGCTCAGCGATCGTTGTATCCCCGACGGAGATCAAAATGTATCTATCCACTTGGCACGTAGCAGCCCGTTCCAGAACGTGTAGTAAAGCCTCAGCCAGGCAACATTGAGTAAGTTCTCCATGTAACTTAGTCAACCCCATCCCGATCTGGTGGGCGTCGGATTCGTTACAGACTGTCACTGCCGGTACAAGCAGAGCCACCGAAATTAGCACTGTCATTAACACAATATCCGAAATTAGCAATAAATTATTTATTTCGTCTGAGGTGCTCGATTTACAACGTTATTGGAATAGAGAAACGACATAATTTATGGTGGCGTACCACTAACTTTTCTTTTCTTGATGGAGGAGTGAGAGATTTGAATGTTAATTATCGCAATACCGCAAATTATAAGGCTATTAATAAGTAGATTAGAAAAGGAATGGCCAGATGAACTACGTAGCGAATTCTAGCTCTCTGTGTCAAAATTCAGCGACTAACACGGGAAGAGAAGGATGTGGTGTATCATTTAAAGCTGCTCCGACAACGCAACTAGTAGTACAGACGAGTAGTGTTTTGGGCTCTTCAATATTTTGTTAAATATATCCCCATAATGATATTATTTATTTGGGGTGGAGGAGCAAGTAATTATTCATTGTGGCACCAGTATGAGCTTCACCAGATAATTTATTGCACAAATTGTTCCTCATAAATACAAATGCCTTATTCCGAGGCGCTGGTTACAAGAGCATCATGGAAAATCACTTCTAGGTCGGAACAAGTTATGCATACAATTGTTTGGTGTTCAATTCCAAATTTGCTTTGATATTTCCGGAGAGAGCAAAAATATTGAGATAACCTTATTTTCACACGAACCAATTTGACCAACACAACAAGATCCCAACACAAAAAGACATGGGCGGGACAGCAGACCGGGACTTTCTGCCCGGTGGCCCTGGGCCAGACCAGAGCCACTGGCAGTGGTGCAGACGCATTGTTGTTCGGTTGATGTATGTTACCTGAATGTGACTCAATTTTGTGTGTCTTGTCAGAGCTGCAATTCTTGGTTCCTGGAAGACGCCCTCAAGAGTCCGGCCACCGCAGCCATGGTCGGCTGTCCGCCGCGCAACTTCCGCCTATGAAGCTGTACGATGGTGACACGATCGCCTACCACACCCAGATGTATGTCGCCGGTGATCCCCGTGGCTACAGGACTGCTATTGTGACGCACGTCGATGATTCACCCGGCGAGGCGTACACCCCGATCTACGTGTCGACAGATGAGATGATCCTGCCAACCATGATGATAAAGAAGGTGTTAAATCGGGCAGGCGAGGAAGTGAAGTGCCACTGGCGCAAGCTACGCACCTACCAGCTTGTATCGGGCGAGTTGCGGGCTCCGTCCGACCGCACACGATTCGCTGAGTCAGTTCAGAACATCATTACCGCTGCTTTTACGGGTGCCTTTACTGGCGCCAGTGATACCGACCCCGCGACTGAAGCCGAGGTCGCGTCAATAACGACGTCAATAACGACGCCGAGATCTGATGGATCTGATGATGACGACCAGGTGCCTTCCATGACGTCCAGCGCCCCAATCACGGCTGCTACGGTCGTCGATCACGGCTTCACAGACGCCCATGAGTACGAGGAAGAATATGCATACGAGGAAAGGGCACCAGTTCCCACACCAACCAACAAAATCAAGGCCAAGACTAAATCCAAGAAGACCGCGCTCGGGAAGCGGCCCAGTACTCCCCCTTGTCATTTACAGATTCCTGCCGCGCCGCCCAAGGCTCGTGCCACTCCAGCGCAAGGTCATCCATCGGAGGAAATCCTGCAAAGAACAGGCACGAAGATTGCCAGGAAGATGGCGAAGGGGTCCGTCTGTGTGAAGACCAGAAAATCATCCAGCAGTCGCTTGAACCGTCAAATATCCCCCGCCCGAGCTCTCATACATGGAACCAACCCACCTGGACATGATGGAAGCGCGGGATCGCGCAAAATAAACTGCCCTCATGATTCCTACCGTTTAGACACTTCATCCGGGCAGGACGTGGAGATTGTTAGTGATGAAGCCGGTGCTTCGGGGGACTTGCTCAGGTTGAACACCCTGGCCTTCGTGTCTATGAAGACAAGCAGTTCTTACAAGAAGAAGGCTAGCAGTCTCAATTCCGGCGTCAAACAAGTCGAAGATGGTGGGGCTGAGGTGGATGAGAAGGATGTATACCTGGAATCCGAGGAAAAGGCAGAAGACAACGACCCAGATCCTCCAGACCAGCCAGACCAGCCTGAGCAACTGGAACAATCTAGTCAGCCCACTCCATCGCAGCTGACCGCTCTACATGAGATTTTGGCGGTCTCCACGCTCGCACAGCGCGAGACACAATATCATAGACGCAAGGTGGGCAAGGTTGACTACCATGTCAGTAAATCAAGAAAGAAACGCTACCAGAATAGACGTGCTCCAACGCGCAACGGCACCAACATCTATCATGCGCACAACTTGAAGGCGAAGACGATGAAGGACTTGTTGCGAATACCGGGCATGAGAGCGAAGTTGATAAACGTGCGCAAAAAGAAACCAGGGTACATCCCGCCCTCTCAACCTGACCCCAATAACGCTGAGACAGGTGTCATGGAGCCTGTTCCGTTTCCAGACTACGTAACGGAGGTTTCGGAGAATATTGTGCCGGAGGGGCTTTACTTCGTGGACGCTGGAGACGTCGACCCGTGCCTATGCGTCGGAGACTGTTCTGCGCATTGTTGTAGGAACGCGGACACCGCTTTCTACTGCACGCCGGACATCTGCCGTCTCGACGCGCTGTGCAGCAACGCTCCGCGTACTCACCCAGGTCTAAGGATCTACAATACTCGGCGCCTAGGCCTGGGTGTGTACACGACGCAGAAGTTATGGACCGGAGAGATCGTAGCGGAGTACTGTGGCAAATTGCAGGAGTATGAGGCTATGCGCGAAGGACAACTCGAGGAAGCGATGAAGCAGAACAGCGGCTACGCTATGTTGCTGAACGAAAAGACCAGGCGTGGAAACTTTGTGTACATCGAGGCGCTCACTGCTGGCTCTAACGCGAGATTCTTCCAACACTCGTGCCGCCCCAACGTAGAATTCGTGGAAATGCAAAACAGGGCACAGGTTAAGGTGCTGTGCCGTATGATCAGTACAGTCGACGCTGGAGCCCAGATAACGGTGTCTTACGATAACGATATCTGGTTCAGATGTGCGTGTGACCAGTGCTGGAAGGAGCACGCATAAAAGAATGCCCAGCGATCGCAAATTCGCGAGATCGCTAAAATTTCGAGTGAGATCTTTTCGCAGACGACGTCGACTAAGGAGACCATCAAAGGATACTTCTTAAAAATATAGTGTCAAAGCGAAAAACACACACTATATCGCCAATGTATCGCAAATATAAAAATCCTCGTATGCTCGACGACTGGATCAACACCTACAGTGCAAACGGCAGATGGGCGCTAGATGAAGAGCTAGCGCACATGCACTGGAACTCAATAAGTCAGCGCAGGACCAACGCCAAGTGGGCGGCCACCACGTTGGTCGTCACGGTAGCTCGGATCGATCATATCGCTCCTGTGCTTACCGCGCGTAACTAAAATTTCCCGTCCAGCAGAGTCCAGATACTCGAGTGTACGCTGAGCGAATAGGACATGCACACACACGCCAAAGCCGAACCAGTAGCTACATTAACACCACATACGGGCGGTGTCGATGACCCAGCCACCGTATGGCTGCCCCTCGAACTCCATCCTGGCGTAATTTACGCCCATCTGGGCACTCACAGCGATACCTTCCTCGCTGCGTTTGTTGGGGGACACTTGGATGCGTTTAGCTGGACGTGAAATCACACGTATGAGTCCAGCGGTCGGGATATCGCCTAGATCGCGTTCGCCCTCGTAGATAAGCTTCGCGCGGATCATCTCGGAGACCCTGCGTTCGAGGGTTTGAGCTGGAACGACCCCCAGGTTGAAGACTCTCTCGCTCGTAGATTTATCCTGACAGCAGTTGCTCAACTCCTGTAGCAACACTCCCATTTTCAGTCGAAGCCGAAGGATGTAATCGCGCTTCAGCACAGCGTTAAAGGTCTCCACCGGGTTGTTCGTGGATGTGAAACCGGTGGGAGTCCAATAGAGCTGCCAGGTAGAGAACCGCCCGTTAAGCCAATGACCGTTAATGTACTGTGTGAAGCTCGTCAGCTCCCGTACGTCCAGCAGACGCTTCAAAAAATCCCCCCGCATCTGCACGAACTCGCTGTGGCTGCGCGCAAAGTGCATATCGTACAGATCACGCACTATGATAGCCTTCGTATCCGAGGGAAACGTCTTAACCGCCCTGTACACTCTCTTCATTACGTGGAAGAAACACATGAGGCTGGTAAAGTGCGGGTTGTTGCCAAATACAGCATTAGTGGCATTATACTGGGCCTGGTCGGCATCAGCCATGGCGTACTGTACCTCCAGGTCGTGCCCAGTGAGTACACTGTATAGTTGACGCAGCGCCATGAGCGTCGGCTGTACAATATCTTGGGTTTCACCTGATACAATAAACATCGACACCAGGTGAAACCCACGAGAGCAATCTGAGATTCCGACTACAATGACAGGGTACCCCCGGTAGTTGAGCTTGTAGGTAGCGTCTACATGCAGAATGAACGACTCGGGAGGCCTCATCAGCCGCAGCATTAGCGTCTTAGTAGTTAATCCGACGACGAAAGGTCGTTCCTCAGAACCGTTGCCTACAACAGGCTTGCCATCGCCGTCCAGGTCCCACGCATAAGTGAAAGGCTGAGCCAAGCCCTCTTCTCCAGTGAATGCACGCTCGTGGATCCACTTACGTAAGTCGTCCACGCGATCGTTGCGCGTCAAGTAGGTTCTCGAGTAGTGCTGCACGAAGTTTTGGACTGTGCTCAGACTCGGAAGGTCCTGCAGCACCATCTCAAACTTCTGCGACATAGCGTGCCTAATTCGCATTGGCCGTAGGTGGTGTAGAGTCAGCTCACGAACGTAGGTCTTCTGGCTGGGCGTCAAACGTTTCCTTCTGGGGGAGCTAGTTGCTGTAACGTGCTCCCCCACCTGGAATATCGACACCACGTCGTTTGTCATACACGATAAAGTCTTCCCTCGCCACGAGCAAGGCTGACCATGCGAGGAACTTGACGTTGCACATGCCTTCGACGCACATTTGAGTAGGCGGTAGCGCATCTTGTGTGCGGTGTCCTCCGGGCACACGACACACGCCAGTTGGTTGCACTTGGTCACCTCGTACGACTTCCAGGTGCTCAGCACCTCCTCAGCGTCGAGGGCGGAGATGCCCACGTCCTTCCAGTCGATCCGCTTGGGCATCCCATCTAGCGACGTCGAGTTGATGAAGTGCGCAATGGATTTCAAAATTTTGAAACGGGTAACTTTGATTGGGCTATGTGTGACTGGCTCTGATCGACTGCTCTAGTGTGTTCTGATTGGATTAAACTCGACCCCTTGTGGCCAGTCTAGCGCGCCTGCAGAAAAGTGGCAGTGTGCAGAGGCATGCCAATCTATTTGTGATGCCTCCGCAGCGTGTTGTGTCCGCAGTGGCTATGGGTGCTCACCCGCTTTTGGTGTGGGAAGGCCGTACTGTTTGGTGTAAGTCACTGGTTCTCAAAAAATTTACTTCTACAGAAACGCCGTGCAAAACTGTCTTTGTAAGAAAATCGCAGTGCAGATGGCCTGCGAATTTCTGCCATGCAAAAATAGCAGGTATACAAAACTAGTAGTAATCATACCATTCAAATAACGTAAGAGGTAATATCGTGCATTTTGCACTACAGCTCATTAAAGCTTGACAAATAAGTCTCTTAATCGATTCAAGGTATGTAATACAATATAAGCTGTAGAAAATCAGATATTATATGGTTTTAAGCTCGCGAGCAAGTGTCCCCCACGACAACCGATCCAATCTCCGACTCCTTCCCTTGGAAGATGTATTTGCTCGAAAAGAAGGCAAGCTGAATCTATAGAGCTGTACACTCGCATGACTTCTTGAATTAGTATCAGAGTGCTAGTTCACTATTGGCAGGCTTCCCTGTCCATAGAGAATGGGCTCACTGCCTGAATGAATTGTTCAGAAATAGCTGTAGAATAAAATGGCTTCACTATTTATTTATGGTATTGTGAAAACCGCTTCGATTTTCCGACGATTTGCACGCATAAAGCTAAAACAAAGGGACCAAAAAGGACATATAATTGTGATAAAACGTCGAATAATTTGAATTGTGTATCGCCTGAATTTGGATCATTATACATCTAAATTCTGACAATCGAATCTTCTTTGGTCTCGACGATAAATCCTTCTTTGTTGGTAGTCTCGGAGAAGGATCTCCAACACACCATTGCTGCCAAACGGCACGTATTGGGCCCGATGGTAGCACGAGCTCCTTACGCACCCGAGGAAGTGAACCGCCCCAGTGTAAGTTGGGACTGTGGCTCCACAAGCCAACCGTTTGAATATAACCGTGTCTGTTTGGGGAGTCAATCACTGCTAATGGTAATTACGCGTAAAAAAAGTTGTAAAAAGTAAAGTGCTTCTATTAGTGGACCCCGATTTCTGGTCCTTGGCCTCATTTCGTTATTTGCTATGTTAAGAGAGCACACCTCAGGGCTTATTTAATGCGTAATCAGTTAATTGCCGTTTTCTTAGCCCACAGGCCGTGTCAGAGCCTAAGAATCCGGCTACAAACTCATTACAAATCGGCCTTCTGGCCTTGCCTATCCTGAAATTTGATCCCCTAACTACCATACACAACTTGTACGAAAATATAACAAACACACAACTATGGCCTTGTTTTGTTACAGTCGGAGGTTGTCGGAATTCGGAAGTCGGAGATTTTATGGTATGGAAGATATATAATGCACATAAAAGGGCATCGAAAATCATGAAGATGCACAATGTTGAAGTGCGTAGGCAAAATGACTGGGTTTTAGACCAATAAAAAATAGCTCTAACCCTTTTTTTAATGAGAGTGGTTCGTGTTCCAACCTAGAAAAGAGGGGGTGAAATGTAGTTCAAATCAGCTCGGAGATTACCATCGGAGGCGAGCGGGTGCGAGGTCGCGTAGCCGCAGCAAACCCGCGCGGGGTGCCCCCGAAGGAGGGCCGTGCGGTATTTGCGAAGGCGGGCCCAGCGCCGAGCTCCTCAGCGAGCCGAGGCCTGCCTACCCCAGGTGAGAGAATCGTTTTGTCGGCAGGAGCGCAGCGACTGCCTTTGCGACGCGCAGCGGAGCAAATCGTATGACCGAAAATGACATCCGTCCTGGAGATTTTGGTAGCGTAAGCGGCTTATCTTGATGTTTGTAAGTTGTACATGTCGCTAGGTTGGAACAGCAACAAGTGCCTTTTTTAATTTGATTCGCGATTATACTTAGATGACCAATCCATACTGAAACGAGGATTTCTGCGAACTTTACTGCCTTTTATAGAGGTTCCAGGGCAAATTAGTGCTTATGTGAAGGCGATTTCCAGTCGAACGTGGAAAATATCACAATTTTTTCAGATTCGAGATTCCAAGCCTTACGTGGAAAGGTCCCATGACTACCTCCCTAAAATAGCCAGTTCCCCAGTTTGATTACGTCAAATTCCTCGGTGGTGTATTGTACTGGCCATAACATACTGCCATCGATTGGATATCAACCATTGACTAAACGCAGTGTATTTGCGAGCTGCCATTCAACATTCACTCGTGCTGCAGCACATTAACAAAGCAGTTGAAATGCGCATCCATTATGCCGTACGGCTGCTCGTTTTCTTCCTTGCAAGTGCCAACTTCGTGAGAGCGTCGATGGAGAACAAAAACATTGCAAGTCCAAACGAGATCTCAAGCAATCGGGCGGCCGCCGCGACAAGAGTCCTAGAGTCCCATAGCGCAGCAGATATACGCAAAGTGGACGATATCGACGAATACGAAGAGCGAGGAGGGCTATCCAAACTCGTCACGCTGGCTTCGAAGGTCAACCCATCTGGAACCAATGCAGTACTGTTGGGACTTAACAAGAGACCGGATCGGGTTTTTACTCTCTTTGGTGTCGGGAAGAAGCTCGACAATAAGCAGGAGGTATTCAATTGGCTGCGCTTTACCGGAAAATATCAGGCAAAACATGGTGGTAAGGATAGTTTTCCAAGCTCCAATATTCTGTCGCTATTACGAAGTGGAGAAAAGGCGGATGCAAAGCTGGCGCTACTCATTCAATCGGTCAAGCAGGTCCGAGACATAAAGGAGCTCGGAAGAAATATGGAGAAAGCGCTGTACAGCGAATGGTTTGCAAAAAAATTGAGACCGGTCCATATCAGGAAGCTTTTAGCTGACAGCCGTGGTTCGGCACCAGACGTAGTTAAACAAATCGTTGAAAACTACGCGTGGAGGTATGTGAAACTTCTGGGCGAAAAACTGACAAAAGAAGAGTTGGAAAAGTTGGGGCCTCCTTTAGTTGTAGTCCAGGGTCTCCTAAAAGAGAAATAATCCCGCGGTGGTTGCCGCCAACACAATCAGCGAGGTCTCACGTGCGAGAACGCGCAGCCTTTTGTTCTCAACAACTCATGCACAGATTGAATTACTGCAATACATTGTTTTGCTATCCAGGCAGCGGAGTCAACTTCATAAAATTGAATTTGCTAACCTGTGCAGCTCTCGCTTCTCCTTTTAAAACTTATAATTTTGAAAATTTCACTTTGGGGGCTCTCCAGCGAAAATAACCCCAAACAGGCTGGAATATTCTTCTTGCAAAGTTATTTTGTGTTCACCCGCAAGAGTGACGCTGGTGCGTAAGTATGTATTAACGCATCTCCATCGTCTGCTTCGCAACCGCTGCATCTGCGCGCACATTCAACGTGTCGTCACCGTGGCTTTTTCTTTTACAAAAGCAATATAGAAATCTAAAAAGCGATCATAAAATCATACTTTTAGCACATGTTAATAATAGCTGTAAGAGGCAAGCTTTTCAAAGTCTCGTAAGTCAGCTCCCACGAATGCAATGAGCCCAATATTACTATACTAAACAAACCCTTCATAATTTCTTCGACACCAGTCCTAAAGGTGTGCTGAATGTTCAAACTCTCCTAGAAAACGATTCTCTCAACTGGCCTGTGCAATGCGCAGCTTGCTTTGGCTAAGCGTGCCATCCACTCACCTTAGTTGACCTTAGTATCATCAAATCAAATTTAGAATAATTCAGGAAATTTTAAAATCCTAAAATATCCTAATTTCTGATTGGATAGATCATCGTCTCTAGTTACTATTGTGCAACAATTGAGCAGCAATATGTCTAAATCATATTCTCAATTTCTGTATGTCCGGCATAAGAAATTTATCATGTTTCTTTTTGTTTCGTTTTAACGTGTCGCTAGGGTTGTTCCTTAGCTGCAGCGTGTGCAACCAAGCCAAAGCTTTCTTCGTCAACGATTCTACCATAAACGTACTCATCAACACCATTGGCTCACTGCATCAGCCAGTCTTGGTCTGCTAATGCGCCGGCGTCTATTTGTATGTATTGCATTACTCAATATAAATTAGTCTAATAAGCTCAGGTGCTCTCCAAATTAGGGATGCCACTGTAAATCCCTTCATAATAAATGAGATTATGAAGGACATGACCTCCACAATCCGCGAGTTTATGGCGGCGTTGCCAGCTTGAAATTCTGCGAGTGCTGCTATCATTTTTAAACTTGACCAGCTCCGATCACTTAGCTATATAATAAACGGCACCGTGATCTTCGGTGGGTATGACCAGCAGTTCCTTCGGCCAACCACGACTCGAGAATGGCAATGGGGAGACGCTTATGGCACGCGGAGCGGTCGAGCTGCACGAACACGTGGCCTCACGCATGCGAACAGCTTTTGGATGTCCGCTACCTGGAGTAGAAGTTCGTTTCGAGAACGTGTCGATTTCCGCGAGCATCACCGTGAAAGATGAGAGTCAAGTTCAATCGGAGCTGCCGACTATCGCCAACGTGATTAAGCGGAGTTCGTGGCAGGTGGGCTCTAAGCGACACGTGATCAAGAAGAACATCCTTCGCAACATCAGTGGTGCGTTCAAGCGTGGGACCATGACGTTGATTCTTGGTCAGCCTGGATCCGGCAAGTCGTCGCTGATGCAACTATTGAGTGGACGGTTCGCTGCTGGAAGGAACGTCTCAGTTGAAGGAGACGTGACGTTTAACGGTCTGTCACGTGAGTCTTTAATGAAGCGACTACCACAACTTGTTGCGTACGTGCCTCAGAACGACAAACATTTGCCTACACTGACGGTTAAGGAGACGCTCGAGTTCGCGCATGCCTGTAATGGTGGAGGACTATCCAAGCGCGACCAGAAGAACTTCGTGCATGGAACGCATGAGGAGAATCAAGCCGCATTAGCCGCCGCTCGTGCCATGTACGAGCACCTCCCAGACATTGTAATACGTCAACTTGGTCTTGAAAACTGCCAAGACACTGTTGTAGGAGATGCCATGCTGCGTGGTGTTTCTGGTGGCGAGCGGAAGCGTGTGACGACTGGAGAAATGGCATTTGGCAACAAGTTTGTGCTCATGATGGACGAGATCAGCACGGGGCTTGACAGTGCCGCGACGTTCGATATCATCTCGACGCAGCGTAGTCTGGCCAAGACGTTCCACAAAACGATAGTAATCTCGTTATTACAGCCATCTCCTGAGGTCTTTGAGCTGTTCGACGACGTCCTTCTACTGAATGACGGGTACGTTATGTACCACGGACCTCGTTCAGAGGTGCAAAGCTACTTTGAAGACATGGGCTTTAAATGTCCTCCCAACCGTGACGTGGCAGATTTCTTGATGGATCTGGGAACGAACAAACAGCGTCAATATGAGACTTGTCCTGTCCCGAGATATGCGAGTCAATTTGCTGATACGTTTGAGAGATCGAACATCCACAAGCGCATGATGGACCATTTACATGCTCCTGTGGACGCGGGGTTGCTGGAATACAACAAACACTACGTCAACCATACGCCTGTGTTCCAGCAGAACTTCTTGACGGGAACAACCATCATTATTGCACGCGAGTTGAGGGTTCTTTTCCAGGACTCAGCTGCTGTTAAGAGTCGAATATTCATGGCCTTAGTGATTGGTTTGCTGTACGGTACGGCGTTTTATCAATTCGATGAGGTGAACTCCCAAGTCGTCATGGGTCTGGCGTACACTGCAGTCGATACCTTGTCGGTGGCCAAGTCTTCGATGATCCCTACCATTCTAGCTACGCGTGATGTGATCTACAAGCAACGTGGTGCGAACTTCTATCGAACGTCTTCGTTTGTGATTGCAAGCTCTGTGAAGCAGACACCCGTCGTTCTAATGGAGACACTGCTGTTTGGATCGATTGTGTACTGGATGTGCGGCTTTGTCGCGAGTGTGCAGAGCTATATCCTGTACCAGCTGGTGCTGTTCCTCGTGAATATGGCGTACTCTGCGTGGTTCTTCTTCATCGCCTCTGTGTGTCCGAATATCAACGTCGCCAACCCGATCGCATTGCTGTCGCTATTGTTCCTCGCTACATTCTCGGGATTTTTGATCACCAAGGATACAATTCCAGTGTATCTGTCGTGGGTCTACTGGATCAGTCCTCATGCTTGGGGCATTCATGCTGTTGCGGTGAATCAGTACAGAGAATCCCGCTTCAATACGTGTGTGTACGAAGGAGTGGATTACTGTTCGGAGTATGGGATGCAGATGGGGGAATACATGCTTAGCGTTTACAGCGTGCCGTCGGAGAAGCGCTGGCTGTGGTTCGGTCTCGCTTTCCTAGCTGCTTCCTACGTCTTCTTCATGACTCTCTCGTGTTTGGTGCTAGAATACTGGCGATACGAGACACCGGAGACGATATCTCTCGATGTAGTGGCCGACTTAGACAAGAACACAGCGTCACTGAGAGATGACTACGCACTGGTTACCACTCCAAAGGCTGCAACTACTTACAAAGACCACCAACTGCTTTCTGTCACGCGCTCGGCAGAGAGAAATTTTGTTCCGGTTACGTTGGCTTTCAAAGATTTGTGGTATTCTGTATCGGGCCCTGCGAATTCAAAGGGTAATATCGATCTTCTTAAGGGTGTGAGTGGATTTGCACTCCCGGGTACTATAACTGCACTAATGGGGTCTTCAGGTGCCGGTAAGACCACGTTGATGGATGTTATTGCTGGAAGGAAGACCAGTGGACAGATTCGTGGAGATATCTTGCTAAACGGGTATCCAGCTACCGACCTTGCCATTCGTCGAGCTACGGGTTATTGCGAGCAGATGGACATCCACTCGGAGGCGTCGACATTCCGTGAGGCGCTTACATTCAGTGCCTTTCTGCGTCAAGGTGCTGAGGTTCCTGATGCTCAAAAATATGACTCGGTCAATGAGTGTTTGGACCTGCTTGACCTGCATCCGATCGCTGACCAGATCATCCGTGGCAGCTCCACAGAGCAGATGAAGCGACTGACTATCGGCGTGGAACTGGCAGCACAGCCTAGCGTGCTCTTCCTCGACGAACCAACAAGTGGATTGGACGCACGCTCGGCTAAGCTCATTATGGACGGTGTTCGCAAGGTAGCAGACACAGGTCGAACTATTGTCTGCACGACCCATCAGCCTTCGGCAGTGGTCTTCAGTGTGTTCGACAGTTTGTTGCTACTAAAACGTGGCGGTGAGGTGGTATTTTTTGGTGATTTAGGCGAGAATGCCTCGAACTTGATCAGTTATTTCGAGTCGATCGATGGTGTACCAAAGCTGGAGAAAGATTATAACCCAGCCACGTGGATGTTGGAGGTGATTGGCGCTGGTGTGGGTAATGACTGTAGTGACAACACAGATTTTGTAGGGACATTCCAGACCAGTGTCCAAGCCAGGTTACTTGCTGTTAACCTTGATCGGGAAGGCATCACTCGACCATCAGCGTCTGTACCTGAGTTAGTGTTTGATCAGAAACGTGCGGCTGGAAATTTGATTCAAGCAAAGTTCCTACTCAAGCGCTTCTTTGACATGTACTGGAGAACGGCATCATACAACTTGACACGATTCCTAATCTCGATCATGCTCGGATTGGTATTCGGAATTGCCTACGTCGGAGCAGAGTACTCTTCATACCAGGGCATAAACTCGGGACTTGGTATGGTATTCATGACGCAATCGTACATGACATTCATTGTGTTCAGCAGTGTCGTGCCAATCTCAATCCAAGAGCGAGCCTCATTTTACCGTGAACGCTCAGCTCAGACATATAACGCGTTCTGGTACTTCATTGGCGCTACAATTGTCGAGATCCCATACTGCTTCGTTGAATCGCTGTTGTTCATGGTCATCTACTACCCGATGGTAGGCTTCACTGGATGGGGTCAATTCTTGGCATATTGGGTGAACTTGACTGGCCTCGTGATCCTACAAGCGTACTTTGGTCAGCTTCTAGCGTACTTGTCTCCAAGTCTGGAAGTCGCTTCGGTCTTCGTTATCCTCGTCAACTACATCTGGATCACCTTTACGGGGTTCAATCCTCCAGTAGCGTCAATTCCCCGCGGATACCGGTGGCTTTACCACCTCACTCCACACAAGTACACGTTTGCGAGTCTGATTGCGATCGTATTCGGTGACTGCCCAAGCCCTGGTGATGGTAACCAACTTGGCTGTCAGCAAATGACCGGTGCACCACCGACACTTGGGAACGAAATTACGATCTCCGACTACTTGGACGAGATTTTCTCCGCCAAGCACAACGAAATCTGGTCAAACTTTGGCATTATCTTACTGTGGATCGCCTGCTTGCGAGTCGTATCTCTCCTGGCGCTGCGCTTTGTGAACCACCAAAAGAGATGATCTGGAGGCTGTAAATACAGCAACAACGGCTAGGATGTCATTCGATTTGATTAAAAAATATATATTTCACCAGTCAAGAAATACATGTACTACGTCATGTACTACGTGCTACTGGAGCACCAAGATTTTATTTCGATGAACAAACGATAAAGTTCTTGATGAAAACCACGTCGCATTCAGAGTATACTTGCTCTCGCAATCGCTCAAGAGAAAAATCGAGTTGAAGGAGATCACTGAGAACATGTAAAGACGACTATTCAAGAACAATCGCTTTTAGTACTCTCGAAGCCACGCGAAAGATTAATAAAATCTTCTTGAAGAAATATCGGCTGGGATCGTTTAGCTTCACAAAGCACCTGATCTCGCTTTGATGCGGATCTCTGTATCACCTACTAAAGTGATTTGTCGACACTTGTTTACTCGTGCACGGAGGGTGATTAGATAGATCAAAGCTCAAACTCTCGTAGCCACAACTTTTGAGCCAAACACTACACTGAACTAGCTTAAAGAATCTAGTATAAGTAAATAGCACTTTACTAGCCTTCCATGTCTTGAATCGGGCTATGGTAAATAATTGATTGGTAGACAGCGGCTTGTATTTTGTGTCTGTACATCCAACATGGGAGCTGCCAATAACAAGACTATCACATCATTTCGCATCTTACTCCTGCTTCAGCAGATCAACGCCTCAATCCAATACCAACGAAAAAGAGAGATAAATGCGCATCCGTTATGCCGTACGGCTGCTCGTTTTCTTCCTTGCAAGTGCCAACTTCGTGAGAGCGTCGATGGAGAACAAAAACATTGCAAGTCCAAACGAGATCTCAAGCAATCGGGCGGCCGCCGCGACAAGAGTCCTAGAGTCCCATAGCGCAGCAGATATACGCAAAGTGGACGATATCGACGAATACGAAGAGCGAGGAGGGCTATCCAAACTCGTCACGCTGGCTTCGAAGGTCAACCCATCTGGAACCAATGCAGTACTGTTGGGACTTAACAAGAGACCGGATCGGGTTTTTACTCTCTTTGGTGTCGGGAAGAAGCTCGACAATAAGCAGGAGGTATTCAATTGGCTGCGCTTTACCGGAAAATATCAGGCAAAACATGGTGGTGAGGATAGTTTTCCAAGCTCCAATATTCTGTCGCTATTACGAAGTGGAGAAAAGGCGGATGCAAAGCTGGCGCTACTCATTCAATCGGTCAAGCAGGTCCGAGACATAAAGGAGCTCGGAAGAAATATGGAGAAAGCGCTGTACGGCGAATGGTTTACCAATAGCGACGGAAATTTTAAACCCGTCGACATCAAGAAACTCTTAGCTGAAACCGGCACTGCGGCGCCATTGGCAAACGATATCGTGAAAAGCTTGAGGCGCTGGAATTGAGTAAGTGGCCGGATGCAAACGCTGCAATTGCGGACCTACTAAAGGAGGAGGCGAAATCAAGTTGAAATGAGGCTCAGTACTTTGGTCTTTCCTCTAGTGGAGGTCTAGCTTCTTGTTCTCAACGGTTATGGCATTGCCATTGTTCCACAATACACTCACTGTTCTTGAAATTGAGTTCGCGTTCGTGTGTTTGACTGCAGTTTGTCGAAGCGTGAGGGAATCAATCAAGCATACACAAAGAAAGCTGGTGTTTGTGTTCTTGATGGTGTTGATGTCCAGGTCTCGTTCGCCTTCTTCTCTTCTTGGTAGGTTTAACGTTAAAAAAATGATTTGAGGGGCAAAGTTTGGAATAAATACACTAATTACCCAAAATTTTGCTCCGTAAATCCCAAAAAAATTAATGAATCGTTCGCAACATAACAATAATTGTTACTGCTACTTTTTGGTCCAAAGATTACTATTGCCAGTCAAAATGCTGCGTCGATCACGAGTGGTGCAAAGTGCTCGCAGGCGCTTGTTCTCCTCGAGTTCCTCGCCCGACTCCCTGCTCGCCTATGGGGCGCGTATCCTGCGCTGCCCGGACCCACACGAGAAGGTCTCGCTCACGTTTGAATGTCAGAATCGCTGGCAGTCGGAGAACCTCCCGGTCTTCTGTGAGTCTCAATGGGGGGCCCACATCCCTCCACCGCTCCCTGCTCGCGGTCCCAAACCCGAACTCCTGCCTCCTAAAGAGATGCCCGGTATGAAGCAATTGCAGACGCAAGCCAGTATTCCGGTTATCATGCTCCACGCATTGGCGCACATTGAATTAGGAGCTATCGACAATTACTGGGACACCATAGTCCGCTTCGATCCAGTTCAACATCAGCTGCCTAGAGAGTTCTACGATGATTTTCTGAGGGTCGCAGGTGACGAAGCTCGACATTTCGCTATGGTAGACGACAGACTGAGAGAATTAGGCTCCGAATATGGTGCCCTGCCTGCCACTAGAGCGTTATTAGAACATGCAGCCAACACCGCAGCAGATTTGGCTGCAAGGATTGCAGTGGTGCCGTTAGTACAAGAAGCAAGAGGACTGGACTCTGGAGATAGGCTAATTAGTAGGATTAAATCCATGGGAGACAAGAAGTCAGCCAAGGTCGTGGAGCAGATAGTGTGGGAAGAACGGGATCATGTCCGATGCGGCATTAAATGGTTCCAACATATCGCCAAAGTGCAGAAGAGAGAGGACCAAGTCGCATATTTCCAAGAGTTGGTACTCCAGTTTTTCCCGGACGGATTACCTGGTCCGTTTGATGTGGAAGCGAGACTTGCCGCGAATATGGGAACGGAATGGTATCAAGCTCTTGAAAATAAGGTCGCTCATTCTTATCCAGCTCAGTCAAATGTGGACTCGAAGAAGGATAAATTACAACAAAGCGCCAGTGTTGCGGCGTTCGCTGCTAGCAAGAAGAAGGTGATTCTAGCTGGATCTGTGTGGCCTGAGCGCACGAGCTCTGCTGCTGGAGTTCGCAGTGCTGACATAATTAGTGTGCTGCAAGAACGGGGATTTCAGGTTCTCTGTGTCTCTCCCAGTCGTCTGAATGACCATACTGCACGACTGGAGGAGGAACAAGACGTGCGTTGTGTACAGGCTGACGCGAACACGGATGCATTCCAGAAGTTGCTGCTGGAGACGATGCCGCAGCTCGTGATGTTTGATCGCTTCATCGCTGAAGAGATGTATGGATGGCAAGCGAAGAAATACGCACCAGAAGCGCTGCGAGTGCTGGATCTACAAGATGTGCACTTCATCCGTCGTGCTCGCGAGTTTGCAGTGAAGAAGCAAGGCGTGAACTTTGAGGCTACGCTGGATGGTGCGCGGCTGAATGTTGATCCTGTTGAGAAGCTTGCTATCCGGGAATTGGCATCTATCCACCGCTCTGATCTGACACTGTACGTGTCGGAATTCGAGCGCGACATACTGATATCACGCTTCCAGGTGCCGGATATGAGGCTCCATCGGTGCGACTTCTTTTATCCAGAGATTAAGGCCTCAAAGCTACGTCCTTTTGGAGAGCGCAAAGATATCGCCTTTATTGGTAGCTTTAAGCATGCACCCAATGTCGACGCGGTGGAGTGGACCAAGAAGACGATTCTTCCGTTGTTCCGTAGTTTTGGTGGTAACGCAGAGATCCACATCTACGGATCTTATGGTGAGACTAAGCGGTTTGCCAAGCTTGACGATCCTAGTCAAGGTTTCTTCATGAAGGGCTTTGCTCCTGATGCGCACGAGACATTGAGCCAGTATCGCTTGAGTATAGCGCCGTTACGGTATGGTGCTGGAATCAAGGGTAAAATTGCGGACACTTGGTTCGTCGGGACGCCATGCGTGAGTACTTCTATTGGAGCCGAGGGTATGACGTCGGATATTATTCCTTGGGGAGGTGCAATCGCGAATGATCCAAAGGGTTTCGTATCGGAAATGCAGCGTTTGTACAACGACGAACCCATTTGGAGTGCTGCACAAGAAGCTGGTGTAAGATGCTGTTCGACATTTTACAGTCGTTCGAGCAATGCTGACAGTTTGATGGAACGTATCGAACGCACCATGCTTGAGAAGCAAGCACTTCGACAGCAAAATTGGATGGGACGCATTTTGTGGTCCGAGAAATTCCGCGCAACGGAATATATGTCCAAATACATTCGTGGGAAGAACGAAGGACTAAACGACAGAGAGAAATAGATGTTTTCTGTAATGCTGTGATACGTCGACTGCTCCCACAGTGGTTGGGGCGAAGCCCCCCCTATAATCGTGTATATTTGTTGTAGAGTACATAACTCCTATTTACACTCTCTTTTTCTTTTTTACGAAGTGGATACATTAGTTTTTGGAATGGTTTAGGGTGAAAATTTATAATCGTCTACATAAGGACCAAAAACGACGAAAATTCCTTCGGTTTAATGACATTGTGCTCATTATGAAAAGAATGGTCAGGCTGATTCTAATCACTTGAAGTATCGAAACGCCGTGTCGCTAAAGTTCTTAAACTGAGGGCACATTTTTATTAAACAAGGATTTCTGTCGTTCTTTGGTGACCCTTCAAATTGAGCTAAAAATGTTTTTTTTTTGCTGCGCGTCGGTTCTCTTGCTCGATTTCACCCTTCTATAAGCCCTTAAAAACAGGAAAAACCTGTAAGAGTTAATGCTATCGTAAAAAAATCTAGCCTGTAAAAAGAGTAAGAATGCCGGCCTCTTGGATGCTGTATTATAACTTTATGACTCGGTGGCGTCTCGGATGACCAGGATGCTGTGCTTTGAAGGGGCGGCAGGCAAATGACTCGCTCGGTTAATGCCCAAGTTGGAGCATGTGCCACAATCGAATTCACCGCCTGGTGCACAAGTCAAGTCGGATCTCAATCAAGCTACATTGACCATGGCGTCACTCGGCGACGACCAAGCTGCCGCGGAGCTGCTGGACGAAGTTGACGCGGAGCTGCGTGAGCAGGCAGCTGAAGAATCAGCAAACGTGTTTGTGTCCATTAAGGAACTGCGCCACTTTGCAAAGACAATGGACACCGGGCCGGGCGTCCTCGTCTCAGTCATCATGTGCGTGTTGTCCTCGGAGCGGCTGACGAACAACAGAGGCACGCGCGTCACTCTGGTGGATGGGTTCATGCAGCCCCATTGGAAGTCCTACAATCGGAAACTATCGGCAATGGACCCTTTCCGGAAGGACACCCGCGTGGTGAAGATTACTGTGTGGGACCCGAGGGTGCGGTCAGTGACCAGACCGCGCTTTCAACTCGGTACCATATACGAGCTGAAGAAAATCCATGCGCTCAAGTTCTACCACGACGTGCTTCAGGGCAGCTTGCAGGCTGTCGGTCCGAACGATCCATGGGTCATCCGTGAGTACGGCGACTTTGAGGCTGTCAAACGCGCCCGAACAGAGGAAGTCACTCCTTTAACGAAAGAAGGCGATGAAGACGAAGAGGAAAAGGAGGAGGAGCCGATGGAGTGAAGCACTTTGAGCCAGCAGGACTGCAAGGGCGGCGAGGAAGGGGAAGTGGGAGTGTTAGGCGTGGGTACCATGTAGTAGTAGTAGTAGTAGTAGTAGTAGTAGTAGTAGTAGTAGTAGTAGTAGTAGTAGTAGCCACTCTTTATCTTTCTTTTTCTTTTTACGAAGCCCGTTAATTCGAAACGCCTAAATTCAAACAATACGTTTCACCAGATATAACTGGAAATAAATAATGAAAGATACTTGGAGAGGTTTGGACCAACCGCTTGATACTTATGCGAGAGATGGATGTGCTAGGGAATGGTGTTAGCTTAAAGTTGCGGTTTCAGCAAAGTTCTCACACTTTATTTTGTCGCCTCCACCACTGATGTCTCGGAAGCGGTCAGTACAGCTGACGTTAGATCGGTTTCTGGTAGGAAGCGAAGAAGATCGCTTCAAACGAGCTCGCTTTTCCGAGAACTTGGTATGATCCTGACTTTTTCAGGGGCAATGCGCTAATTAATCTGTGCTGTATGTGGTCGCAGCTATTGGATACAAGGTCCGTTGTTCAGGCCTATGGCGAGTACAACCCGATAACGAAAAACGTATACATATCTCGACCTAGAGCATGGCTTTCAGAGGTGGGCGATTCGAATACTTCTGTTTAGTTGTGAGGACTAACGTTTCTGAATAAAGGAGGACATTCCGCTTTGTGGCTGTCGGTGCCAGGACGGTGGGGAACGACCGTGCGAAATAAGTTGTGAGAACAGATCAGTAAGTATTCTACAGACAAGAAAAACCAAATCTTACACTATCAAAGTGTATGTTCCGACGAAGATGAACGTAGAATGCGTGGCAGGCCGTTGTTCGTCCAACACGAACTGTAGTAACCAGAGGTTTCAGGAGGGCTCGTCGGTGTCGCTTTCTTTGGCACTCTGTGGTCAAAAAGGGATCGGCCTGATTGCGGATCAACTAATTGAAAAAGACTCGTTCATCATCGAGTACACAGGGGAAGTAATTCCTCGTGGGGACTACTAGCAGCGATACGCGGTGAGTGTTTTAAAATATTAATTCGGATCTGGTCTGAGCTGTGTATACTGTAGAATCGACCTGGTACCCGAAACTATTATGGCGTACAGTCGAACAAAAGAGAGATCATCGATGCTACGCAGCAGGGATCAATGGCGAGGTTTGCCAACCATAGTTGTGCACCTAATTGCAATTTGGAGTGCTGGGACGTGAATGGAGAAGCGTGTTGCGGGCTGTTTGCAGCGTGAACGATTGAGCGCGGCGAAGAAATCACGTTTTGCTACGCGGGGACCAGGATGGGAAAGAGAACGGTGAGTTGGAAGTAGTGTGTGGGGAACTAGCTGTCACTGAGTGTTTTGTTCGTTTTAGGTAAGGCCGTGCTTTTGCCTTGAGTCAGTGTGCCGGGGATATGTGCCGAAGTAGTGTTTCGCAGGGCATACTAGTCCTAGCGGGTGGAATTAAACGGGTGGTTTCTAAAACAAATGTATTACTTGTTTCTTTTCTGGTATAAAAAACGTTTTTTTGTTATAAGGTCGTAAATGCTATTAATTTAAGTAGAAAAAATAACATGACGGATGATGTATCAGGCCGATTGTGTGGACATCTTGTGTAACGTCGAACGGAAAAGGACGCGATCAATGTAATACTGAGAAACCATCGAATGGGTCCGAAGTTCACCCCACTTCGTGGATGGATGCGCTGGTACGTTCGTCTTGTTCGCTGAAGAAATTGCCAGAAGGATCGCTCAGGTGCCTTACCCGATGATGCTTTTGACTGGAATTTGTGTTTAGTATCTAGAACGTAAATGCGTGCGTGTGGCGGATCGCTCGCTGCTCTAGCAGGAAGAGAGTGTTAAACGACCTAATACTGAAACGGCGTAGCATTCGAAAAGCGAATGCCATTGCTATTTTCGTGTGAATACCATCATGGCGAGGTCTAAGAAGCCAGGAGTCAGAGCGCGGGGGGCGAAGGTGGCAAAGAAAACTTTAAGGAGGTTGTCGAGACGGCTAACGGATGTAGGAATGCCGGCAGCTCAAACAGGCAGTGTGAGTCTAGAGGATGCGGAGAAAGCTGAACAAGCCGCGCGCATTCTACGCTCGGAGGACACTCGAAAGCGAAATACGGCAGCTCAAAATTGGCCTGATCGTTTGAAGAAGGCCAGAAAAGAATCCGAAATAGAGCAAAGAAACCGAGACCAATTTACAGACGCTCGAGGTACGTACTGTACGCTGAAAGGCACGTTTCTGGGTGATTGACCACAATTTTTTCTATTTTAAAATTGATATTGTCGTAGCTTTCTTTGAAAATAATGAATACACCACGAAAATGTTAATGCAGAACTGTTTCCCTACCCTTTTTCCTAACGGAGAAGGGGGAATGCATCCTTTGTTCGATGTAGAAAATCGAACGCACAAATACAAACTAGCCGAATACTGTGCTCACATCATGAAATGGCACGATCGGCGGTTTGTAATACATTGCAACTTTAAGTTTTTCTGCTTGGACCTCATTCAACGTAGACAAATAGACGGCTTGGTTCGTAGGGTTGGTGCCTGCTGTCCGAATAATGAAAAGCCGAGAAGTGTATCCGTCAAGGGGTGCTCAGAAAATATGAGAGGATATCGATGCTGCGATGGAATTACTAGAGAGTTTGAAGCCTTATTTTCGAGGTGTTCGTGGGAGCGGACTATACTGGGCCAATGTCAGATGTTAGGGAGCCGTTTTTTTGCATCTTCACGATGGCCTACGTATTTCCTAACTCTAAGTGCAGCTGACACAATCTGGCCAGACTTCTTTCGAGCCTGTGATCCAACACTAACGCTTGAAGCGGCTCGATCGTTAAGCAGCCAGCAGAGACGGAGATATCTGACTGAAAATCCTGATATCACTGCACGGCATTTTGATAGGCAATTCAGAGCATTTTTTGACAATATACTTTGCTGTAAAGCAAGACCTCTAGGTGAAATCGTTGACTACTTCTGGCGGGTTGAGCTCCAACAGAGAGGATCCCCTCACATACACGCCTTATTGTGGGTTCGAGACGCCCGGACGTAGTGACACTGTCAGAAACAGAGTTTGGACGCACAAAGTTAGCCACGTACGTTGACAAGGTAAATTCAGTGCTGGCAAAGAGTAAGGAAGAGTTAGAAATCTGTAACTGTGCAACTTGCGTTAGAGAACGAGAAGGGAATTTAGATATCCTTTCAGCTAGACCCCCTTCGCCTGGAAAACAAGATTGGGAGTGTGATGTATCCCGCATCGTTCATCGAGTGCAACAGCACGTTTGTTCTTCTCTGTCATCGTGTCGAAAGTCAGGAAACGACTGTAGATTTGGTTAACCAAAGGACTTGAAAAAAATACCGAGATTCATGTCGATACGACGGCTGACGGCGTTCCTTCGATACAGATACACTTGAAAAGGGAGTGTGCTACAATCAATAATTACTGCCCTGCTCTTCTTTCAATTTGGCGAGCAAACATGGATATCCAGCTGATTGGGAATGCGTACGGAGATGCCGAATACACGGTCGCATACATCAGCAAGGCCGAGCCTGACACCCTCAAGTTTAAGAAGATTATTGGTGCAGCTGTAAAGCGTTGTGATCATAATTTGCCTAATTATGCCATTCTGAAGCGCGTTGCGAACGCAACACTGTCGATTAGGGAAGTTAGTGCACAAGAAGCCTATTATATACTTTTAAGAGAGCTGCCCTTGTACAGTAAGTCTAGACAAGTTTCGAGAGTGAAGGTAATGCGGCACAGTATGCGATATTACCGAGTTGAGGCGTCTGACTGGGAACTGAGGAACGACAGCCCTCGTTCTGGAGATACTCGAATAGAGAAAGCGGAAGCTGCTTATATGGCACGTCCACGAGATCCCCTTTTCGACGAGATGACCCTAGCGACATTTGTCGAAAGGTACGAACCAGTGGATACTGTCAAAGTGACGAACGCAGGCACCAACTATTGGAAAAGAATAGATTCAAAAGGGTACATTAAACTACGCTCGACACCTCATGTAGTGCGCGGAACGCCGTGGATATCTCCGAATACAACGAACCCGCACTTTTGTTTTGCAGAGATTTTTTACACAAACCCTGGCGATCGCTGTCAGAACTCCCCCAGAGCGATGATGAATGCATTAAATTCTTTGCAAGCGAACAAGAGAAAACGTTGAATAGCGAACTTAGAGAGGAATCAGAGCTAGCTATTTTACGACAGCAAAATATAAAGACTCTAAAAGATGCTAAGGAATATAGTGTCGTGAATAGTTTGCCGGCACCCGAGTACGTTTTTATTGATCTCGAACCTGAGGTAACAGCGCACGAGAGCTCAAATGGCTTAAATAGCGAAGAACATGTTAGGACAACCCAAGTTACGTGGATACCAAAATACAATTATACCACCGAAGATATTGAAAGAGCTCGTGTCTTCATGAAAAAATATGTTAAACCCTGGGTTAAACTTCAGCGAGAAGTAGGTGGCAACACATGTTTTGATCGAAAAAAGCAAAAACACAATAACTACATGTACCCTGTGTGTGACGACGATGAAAACCCCGTTAATGATACTATGGACTAGTCACAGTGGGTTCCGTTTGCAATGGCGATGAGGCAGTCCCGCAAACGATTCATGGCTCACATAGAAAACAGTGAATGTCTACCTCTGCAAATGATCATTCACGGAGAGGGAGGCTCTGGAAAGAGTTGGTTAATTAAACACATCGTCAAAGATCTGCATAACGTGTTTAATGAGCAATATCTCTCTCGACGAAGATCCAAACGAATCCTCCTCTTAGCTCACCAGGGAACGGCTGCGTTCAATATCAAGGGTCAAACGATTTGTTCCGCGTTAGAGTTAAAATCATTTTCACGCAATGCATTTTCTGCGCCATACAAGTCGTTAGCTACTGCCAAAGGTGGGCCCACTACACTAAAAAGGCTACAGGACAAATATCAAAATGTTCACCTTGTCATAATAGATGAGTTTAGCGTTATTTCGTGTGGTATGCTACACTGGATTGACCAGAGAATGCGGGAAATTTGGCCGAAATGCAGGCAATTGCCATTTGGAGGTCGTGATATTATCTTTACAGGAGATTCAGCGCAACTAGACCCTGTAATTCCATACTCTCTGTCGACCCCCTCTTTGAAAATACACAACTCAGTACAGCAGCTAGGAAGAGAAACTTGGGAGGCGATTCCATACGTATGTTGCTTGACGAACCAAAACCGAGGTAAGGCAGACCCTGAATGGTATGCAGCTCTTAGTCGGCTGCGGCGAAAGTGCGCGACACCAGAAGACGTCGACTTGTTCAACACAAGATACATGAAAAAAGCAGAGATGCCTGACTGGGTTTCAACCGCTAAACACGTCGCCTATTTAAATGCGGATGTTGCCGCAGCTAACCAGAACAGCTTAGCGTCTAGTACCTATCCAGTCGTTCAAATTCGATCGAAGCACACCGTGTAGCTCAAGCGGCTGGCAAGTCAAAGAGAAATACCACCTGACTCTATCCAAGCACTACTAGAGGAAGCCGAAACAGCAAACGCAAACAGAGATCGGGTGGGTTCTAGATATGTAAAAATGGTGGTTGGAGCACCTGTGACACTAACCTTTAACATGGAACAATCTGCCGGTCTTTGTAATGGCACCAACGGCGTCATCTACGACTTTATCTGCTGTAAGGACTCAGCATTACCTATAATACTTGTTCAAATAACGGATTCGTACGCCGTTCCTTCGTTCCTGTCTGGTGTGGCAAATATTGTACCGGTTGTTCCTAGAAAACTTAGCTGGACGAAGAAGACCAGTGACCTAAGTGTTTTCAGAGAAGGAGTTCCGGTAAGACTGGCATATGCTATTACAGTCCACAAGATCCAAGGTTTGACCTGTGCAAAGATTGTTTTCCACTCAAAAGCAGTACCCAATACTTCTTTTGCGTATGTAGCTCTCTCGAGAGTGCGTCGGCGAGATGACATCATTCTTACCGATCCACTATCACTTAAACAACTATCTACACCCCAAGAGCAATTTAACCTGTTTTGCAGAGAAGAAGTTCGAATAGAGCAAGCAGTATCAAGAACTAAACGCATCGCAATGACCGAAGTAGCAGTAATGAAGCAAGTGGCACGAACTCACAATCGATTACAGTTACCTCGGTAGCTACTGGATGCTTATTTATCACTAGATTGCTTCTGCTCGATTCGGCGGTGGTGAAGATCGATTCGACAGTTACGCAGACGCGGTGGTGATGCGCGTTTTTTTGAAGTTGAAGTTGTTGGTCTGGAGAAGGAAGGCAATGTGTCTAAAGATCGCCGTGGTGCTCAAGGTAATGTGGTGTTTCGGAATGCCGTATCGTTTACAGTCAATCGCGCAGGCGCGTCTATCTACTGGATCACAATTGAATCTGCTTTGGTCGCGCCAAACAATGAGCGGAAATCAGCGCTGCGATCGCACTCTAAAAGGTCAAAGTTTTTCAACTCCACTGCCAACGCGGAAGCACCAGAAGCATTGTGGTTCGGTGCCAAGCCCAGCCACACCTCAGTCGAAGGTCATATCGCGGAAGCGGTTGCGCTACGAAGAAGAGGAAGACAAAACTACGCAGTCGGAAGGCAAATCCCGGACCTACTACGCGTCCAAGGTGCTGGATAACGGGACAGAGTTGAGCAACCTATTTTGTGGCTGGACAAAGGAGGAAAATATTGCTCGATTCACCCGCGTACGGGCCTTGGAACGCGAGAGAGCAGAACGAACGGTAGCTGTTCTTGAATCTGAGAGGAAGAGGGGTCGCAGGTTCCACGAAGTACCCGGACGTTATGACTATGAGAAGTATCAACGTATTCGCAAAGACATCACCTTTGCGATGATGTGCGAATCCATGCTACAGACAAAGCGGCGGGTCGGGAGCCGCGAGTAATAACCCGAGAAACCTTTGACAAATAGGGAGACGGCAATACTCAACTTTGTTTTTACCATCAGCGCGCCTTTCATCTCAAAACGTAGGCTGTAGTAGTGAAAACGGTGTAAGCCATACCAAAAAATGTCAATACGAACTCAAGTACTTTTTTTAAATTCTTAAAGCGAACCCCGGCAAACTACGTAAACGTGGTCATCATCTCGTGACTTCCACGGCACTAACTATTGTCACTCTTTCGTTGAAACTACGCAGCCTTGGACACGCGTACATGAGCTGCTTGACTGACACGCAGTGCACGTACAGCACGGCCTAATCATTAGTGAAATATGCAGTATCGATTATTGTTTATCGTTCACGATCAAGCGTAGAACAAACTAATACGTACGGTGTTGAGTTTTCAGCACGTTTGCTGCGCGGGCGTGGGCAGCACGGGCCACTTCCGCGGCCCGTTTACTGACATCGACGGTATCGGGTCCAGACACTGCATGAAGGTTGTTCTCAACCATGGTGGAGTTCTTAAGCAACTTTTGATCTTCCTCAACCTGTCTCTTCCCACAGATTTTGCTTCCTGTTGAAGCAATTAAACGTCAGTCCTGTATGTACGAAGTTAGCCAACTCTTTCTGTGCGTTTGACGGTAAACACCACTTCCCCCGTAGATCGTCCTGGGCCACAGCATCACACGGATGAATAATCAAACAACTCACCGACACACGCCTTCTACCACACCTTTAATCGCCCTTTGCTTGCTTCCGGTAGCCGCGGGAGACTTCATCTTGGCCATCTTGATAAGATTTTTAGTAGGTGGGTCGAATGAAAAAAGGGGGCGGGGGCGTCGTCCAAAATTATGTTTTGCACATCATTCTAGGCAGTCGCACCTTAAGCAACTGCCCGCGGATGCTCCACTAGTCTAGAAATGTTCAGCTGTATTGGTGCTACTGAATTAACAGTGAGCGGTTGTTAGGGCATATCTAGTGCAGATACTTCAGTAGTAAGTATAATAATAAATCATCAAAAGACGTGCACTAGAAGGACTACACTACTATAGAGTAATGCTGTTTCGTTAAGCAGCTTAGATAGTAGAAGGGTGCAGTTCGCTGTGTTTTTGCAACTAGAATGAAAACACAATTCATGAGTGTATAAGTCATGATGAATGACTGCGATGCCGTGGCCGATAACATCTATGGTATTATAATTCATAGCAGCCGATTCTATAGGAGGTTTCGGCTTCGTAATCGCCCATCAGTGCGGGTTATTTCCCACCTAGGCACCGAAAAGCACACGGAATTACAGGTATCACATGTTTGTCATACAATTCACATATTTGTTATTTAAATTTAAACTTTGATTTGATTTTAGGGTGTGGCAAATCGTTTTTCAAGAACTATCCAGTACAACCCAGAGATGGTCGATTTGCTAACTGCTATTGTGGTGGAGTGGTGGTCGCAAGATCACGTTGCGATCCACTCTGACACACAGTGCCCTGAACTGCCGACTAACGGAGGGGGTACTCCGATAACCGTGGGGTAGCTGAGGGCTCAACTTGTGTACCCGTCGGCAGGGCTGATTACACTCCTCTGGTGGACTTGATGGGAAGCTTGGCCTGGGCCGGTCTCGTCTTGGCGGGACGCAGGATGGTGGGGTTGCGTAGCGTGGATACTCTTCAGGGCACGCGCCAGGTAGGTCGTCGATCTTGATCGACTTGGGGTGTGTTTGTTCCTTTACGGGGGGG